GAAAGAGGAATTTACGCCTTTGCAAATCCAAAACAACTTTTTTCAGAGGGAAGGGTGTTGGAAGCCATAACAGGTTCCGGCAAGGTATACACCTCGGGAAGGTTATAAATTATCTCCAAACTTACATCGCTGTTACAACATCTGCAGAGCATCTACTGGCCCTCACGTAGTTTACTTATAGTTGTGTGGCCATTCTATCCCTATATCTTTCATAGGGTAAGTTCCAATGAATAACCTTTACGCAAATACCTTTTTAACTGTCTGTAAGCACTCTCCACTCTGTTGCTAGTATCGTTTCCCATACTGGCGGTGAACTCGTTGTGTGGCGCAGCCCAATATATTCTAGTACTGACCCAGCTGCAGTGCCTATCACCTACCAGTCATAACTACTTGTGTATGAGCAAACCACTTCTTAAAACGTTGTTTTTGAGACTGCTTTGCTTATTTTTATTATTTAGAATGAAAATTAACCTTCTCAGAAAGCCTGCCACGCGTAGAAAGGACATAAAACAACACTGAACATAGGAAGTCCTTCCACTAGAGCAATCATCTGTGCAGCTGAACAGTCGATAGTAAATGGTAATGACTTGCATGTCAAAGAAATTATACATAAGTTCCTATTGTTACAAAGACGCTCCGAAACGATAAATACTATGTACTTTCTTCGACTTTAAATCCGAAACACCAGTGTCGTAAGAAGGAAGTTATATTGTTTGGCAATTAAAGTTGAGAAGATTACAAGTCTACAAACAAATGTTTAATACAAATTTATTATGTACTTTTATGTGTTTTTGATCGTTTTCGTCCAACTTTTACACGACCGAACTATTTGGGTCTTCCAGTTGCCCACCAATGGCTACCAGTTCCAAAAAACGTTCAATTTTCTCCTCCATTGACACACATATGTATATATATCTTTATAAATTCGGAACCAATTTGCGCCCAGAGGAATCTGATTTGCCGATACAAGTTCGTCTGAAGTTGGTATCTGTTCTTTACTCTCCTTTTCCAGTCTCACAATATCATCCACAACAGGCTCTATACCATCCTCATCTAAACGGGAGCTGATTTTTATGAATTTTCTTTGTAAGAGAACGGGTAATCCCTCAGCCAAGCACAGAACTAGATTTTGATTCATGCACACAATTAAGAGACACGAGAGCATTTCTGTACACCACTAAATTACACAAAAACTCTACGACTTCTTGGGAGTTATCCTTTAACCGCACCCAATTATATTTAATGTCCTCAAAAACACCACGGGATATCATAAATGGCTTTCCAAAACTTTGACGTAATATCCTCATAGCTTCAGTGAATCCTTCGTTAGGGGGCGTAAACTTGCAGCACTGTATGACACTCACAGAGGCTCCAGTGCGTCACCTCAACAAATACTGCAGCTTTCTTTCGTCATTTATTACAAAACCACTCAACATGACTTCAAACTATTTTACAAACTGTGGATATTCTTCTGGGATTCCATCAAAATATAAAGGCTCAAATCTTGGAAGTTTAAAACCCCTACTATAACTGGACGGCGAAACTAAACACAATTTTTATCGTGCTGAGCATCATACACCTCATTACAAATAGCAGGCAACTCATCATTACTTACCTTCCTGTCTGCTTCCAGAAGGCTTCGTCCTTTCTTTGGCCAAGGCTTTATTGAAAGTTACCAAACGATTCAGAAAAGCTCCTAACAACACTCCTCCAAAGAAAACTTGTAGACACCAGGAAAGACGAGTAGCCAACAAATACAAAGTATAATTCCAGGAGATATCAGAAATTGTCAATCAACAGGGCTCACTGCGCCGGACCTCACGCTGTCCCAGGAAGACCTTCAGAGACACTTTGTAATAACCAAAGCGAAAAAACCAGCTCGCAGATTGGTGACTCGAGAATCCTTTATTCTTAGGCAAATATGTAACCAACAATAAGGTTATTACACACAAGGTCTAAGAATAAATGTTATAACAACAAATCACGATAATACTTCTGATAGCTTTTCATCTTCCACTGAAAAGCGAACGATGAAACGATGATTGCTGGATTGATGACTCCCTCGAAAAATTGGAGGAGTTGGGTTTGAGCAAACAACCATGAATTGATCGTTCAATCTTCAACTACATTGACAGCTGCCGTCATGTCATGTATGTGAGGCAGTGGATAGCGATCAGGGGTTAATTTGGTGTTCACTCACCGGTAATCACCAGTGGAAAGCCAGTTGCTGCTATCTTTTTCCGGTACCGTATGCAGTGGTGATGCCCATGGGTTATTTGATGGTCGAATTATGCCAAGGGTAAGCGTCTGGTCAAAATCATTTCTGGCGAGTCGTAATTTGTCAAGAGGAAGTTGTCGTGCTTTGGGTGCAACGGGTACCCTTAGGTTGTGATGTGATGCATAATATTACTGGGCGTGCACGGCATATCAATTGAGGGGCCCTCAAGTTCCCAGTACTTGTCAACAGTCGACTGAGAAGTTGGAAGAACTGTCACGCTCTTCTTAGCCAGTGAAAAGCCATGACCTATGTAGGTGATTCCTTTAATAGACAGTCTAGTGGTACCGTCTATCAGTCGTTTTCGGCGGACAATTACGAGTAAGTCATAACGGTTGGGTAGGTTTGCACCAATGGTAGGCATAGTGACGTCAGCAGGAAAAAACCACTTGATAGTTTTAGATAGAGGTATTTCCTATCGAAGGCTGCAGTAGGTTTCGCATTAGCAGTCTGTAAGTTGAAAGTAGGTTCCTCTATGGCAGAAAAGACGACTTCAGCGCCCGTGTCGACTAAATACCAGGTTTAACTGACTTCATCCTAAATGTAAACCAGATGACTGCTGCCACAAAAGCTTCCCAGCAGGATAGTTTCTCAGGGACTTTGGGTCTTCGTCACCTTGTAGCTTCCTGGCATTAAACATTATGATACCAATGCTAGCGCGCGTTCTTAGGTGGGCGTGGTTTAGATTTCGACTGACTATGTCAGTTTCCACATTGAGGGAAAATCTGTCAATGTGAGGTCTGTTTGACCTAGGTAGTCACTTGACAGATTTGCATAAGTCTGCCACTTCATCGTCACTCCTCGAAGGCTGTTTACCGATCCAGCATATTTCAATGACTGGCCGTCACAATATTTCTGGAATTCTCCCAGTCAAAGTAGCTAAGTCGCCCGTGACGAAAACTTAAAATGTCACAAGCAGGGTCTTCACTGCCCATGGAAACCTAGATAAGAATAACTAACTGCCTGGCCGATAACTTTCTGGAGAGTCTGCAGACGGCTGTAGGTCATTTGATCAGCTGATGGATACAGGCTTTATTTATTTAAAAAACCTAGAGTTTAGGTAATTTTTCGCTGTTTTATACACGTTTTTACCTATATTCCTGCTAAAAGTTGATGAAATACGGCGTATTTAGCAGAAACAGCAAATGATGATGTCCTTATCTGGCCGTAATTTACAGCCAGTTTACAAATTGTTGAAATACGTACTTTTCCGTTCAGAAAATGTCGGATTCTTTGAAGACACATGTTATAACGACTTGTAGTCATTTTTTCAGTTCAAATTATTATACATAGATAGGAGAAGGTAGACAAGTTACTTAGTCATTTTCACTTACTTTGTCGTGTACCTTAATTGATGGTTTCAAAAGTCCTTCACAATTATTTATTTAAAAATATCTACAGAAACACTCATGAATTATTCTCACATGTTATTTGCTTCTTATAATGCACCGATCTGGCTTTTACGGGCACATGCAATGTCCATATTTTCTGCTTGAACAATGTGGAATGACGTAAGCATACACAATTTAACGCATTATTTAGTATTTTCTATCACTTAAATTTTGTATTTATAATGGCAACAATGTTTATATCTTTCGATTGCTTAATTTCTATTTCAGGTGGTGACAACTTTCCTGGATTTCATGGAGATGGGCGCTAAAGAAGATTTCCACACTTTCATTGATTTGTATTACATGTTGGTTCATTAATAAATCTATTCCTCGTTATTCGTTTGTATATTCTACTTGATAAGACCGAATGTTAGCCCTTGCGTAATTTGTGAGTTATAGAGTACATGGGGCTATCTTTGAAATACTAAGTAGTGGCATATATTCGGAGAAGCCTATTGGTAAAAAGATTATGTTGTAGTCGAATAAAGTAAATATGTTCAACTTGTAGAAGAGGTATTGCGATTATAAAGCGTTTCGAGTTATCTATCGTCTTAGCAGAGTACATATACTGATTCGCGATTCATAGTCACAAAGTGAAAGTAAATCTATCTGAGATAGTTTGCTTGTGATTTCCACATGTCGCAGTTTACCACAAGGATAGATTATACCTATAATTTTAGATTTATAACTCAGTGCGACTACGGCTGTCATAATAAATAAAAAAAGAATGCCTACGGTTCTCAGCCACAGAGCACGATACGTTGCTATCTGTTCATATAACCACGTAAACAAAAGTTTCCTAGACGCCACATAACTCCTAACAGTTTACCCTCAATTCCTAACTTAGCCCTTGTTACTTATGTTACGTAAACACAATCGTATTACAACAGAAGGAAAACGGATTCATTGAAAATTGTTTATTAAACAAAAATTAGATTCCAGATGTACAGATAATTCACATGAGTAGTCCTCCGTTACCGTCAATAAGTTCTATCTGCGTACACGGCACATATATGTTGTCAATGTAGTTGAAGATTGAACGATCAATCCATGGTTGTTTGCTCAAAACCAACTTCCCCAATTTTCGCGGAGGCATCAATACGACAGTCATCGTCTCATCGGTCTCTGTTCAGAAAGAAGTCAGGAGACAACTGTCAGAAACCTTAGTTGTAACATTGTTTATATGTTGGTGTTACAATAAAGAATCCTCGAGTCGCCAATTGGTGTTTTGGTTTTTGCGTCCGTTATTACTAAGCGTTTCTGAGAAACTGAGAACAGCGTGAGCCCGAGTGCAGCAAGAGCCGGGAATTAACAGTTTATGAGACGTGGCTGACATATGTTTTTCCATAAGTCTGAATAGGTTTAGGAAAAGTATTATTGACTTGGGTATTACATGTATGATCTGAATAGAAAAATGTTTTGATAGGCGTTTACAAGTAATCACTTTATAAACAATATATATAAGTAGCTAAATAGTTTTTACTAAACTTAGGGGACTTCAAAATTTATCGTTGGTCGATCTCTAGTAGGTCCATCGAAGCATCATGTAGTGATAAAATTATTTAACGACAAGTTGTGCAGTCGCTTCCAAATCTTGTACAAAGATTTTGGCAAAAGTGACATTGGCTTTATGACAAATAATAGTTCTTCACGGCAATAATAACAGTAAGGTTCATGTTCATAGTGACTATAAAAACAATAATAGGTATTATTATCGCAACGAATTCATCATTAACTTAGATAGACAACTAAAAATAATACAATCATATCAAATAAATGTATCACTTAATCTTAAGAAGCATGTGTTTACTTACTTTCACTGTATCCTCTCAGTACTGATGTTGTCAACTAGCTTATTCCAAAAGAACTCAAGACTAATTATGAAAGTGAGTGAAGATCCAGTTTATGTCAAATAAAAACGTAGCCTACATGTATTACACCGCTTACTGAGACATTTGGTACCTGCTTTCCGATCTTCGCAACAAGAACACAGTTTATCTAGGTAAACCTACATATGTAAGCATACGTATATGTTGCATCAACCATGCCGTTTTTATCATGATTAACCAGACCACTGTGTATAGTATACATATTTAAGGATATCTGAAAATAATGGTCAGGCGATAGTTGAAGTTTCTTGAAGTTATTACCTCTTGAGAACATTGTTTGAATTCTTGACACTTCTGAGAAGTCCTTACATCTTGATGTGGCGTGAATTCGTTGAATTCAACAAATAAATCCACTGGTAAATCATTTCTTTCCTGAGCTGTATTAGTTTGTTTTGTCAGTTATCTATCCGACTTGATAAGACGCTCGTGGAAATTCAGAACTCAACCAAGCAGCTAAATGATGTTTGAAATTACTTCAACTACAATAGCAAACTGGCCAATTACTGGCGAGTAAATCACTTGTTTATCTCACTCGCGGGCACTCAAAATTACGGCCGTCGACAGGCTGCCTAAATTGCTGCATACATGTAAGGATGTCAATGCCCCAATGATAGCCTAACTCACTATTGCGAGATATATCATGGAGACGATGTCAACTTGAAAGATCACTGACAAAGTTAAAATTTCGACACAACTAGCAACCGATCAGCAAACGACCTTAAGCGGATCAATCACATTAAGTAGGCATATATGATGAATGAAAACGAATGTTTATAAAAAAAAGCATAAAAGAGGATAAAACGGTTACAAGGGGTATCTTTCTCGAATATGTAAGACAAAAGCATCTCCCAGTTCAGTATGCGACTGTCAATGGAGAAGTCACACCACAACCTGTACTTAAATTCATCCGAATGGCTATAAATGAGATCCTTTTGAGATCCATTTATAGCCCTTATCCTGTTTTTCAAGCGGCCCCAAAAACCTTCAATGGAATTCGTATGAGTCCTCGTAACGGGATCCACCCAACAAACAAGCGATTTTCTCTATTTTACAGGAAGCAATATCTCTGCAATGCTGGGATACCAGCAGTAGTATACCACTGAACTGTTGAGAAGAGGCTATTCTCCGTCTAGGCAGCCGCAGCTCTCACCGGCTATTTCAACACCCAGCAGTTGCAGATATAGAAAATCTGGGTTAGGGAGAGATGCGGCCTAGCGAAAAAAGTTGCAATGAAATATTAAAATTATCAGTTTACCCCCTCTAATGTTAGCACGCTACAAACATATAACACAACGATGAACAAACCCATCAGTTGATTTCCTATAGCGTTTTAAAGTCATGATAGCACCACACGAACAAGTTCGCTCCTTCCGGGGCAACCCTAAATCCAGGCGATACTGAAAAACACCGTCCTCCTCGAATTGCAACCGTAACCTTGTAAGGTCACGCATTAAGAATGAATCAAGCGCTATACAACATTGAACTACGTTCGTGAATCTCATTGGATAATTCGCTGATTGATAGTTAGTGGTGTCGAATGTTTAACTTCGCCCCGTATTTTAGCAAAAAAAACGAAAAATTTAGAAAAACAGTCATTCCCAGTGTTTGACAAAGTACTGCCTTTTCATCGCATTGACAAGCTGAGGTGCAAACGAAAATTAAAAATACATTGTAAAACGTCAATCATGATGGTTTTTATTTCTGTACGTTCCCAGTGAACATAGGGCTTCAAGATTCCGTAGCATTAGTGATTATTTCTTTTTACTGTGTGTCAATGGAGTTCAAGATTGAACGATCAATTCTTGGTTGTTTGCTCAAAACCAACTTCCCCAATTTTCGCGGAGGCATCAATACGACAGTCATCGTCTCATCGGTCGCTGTTCAGAAAGAAGAGTAAAACACCGTCAGAAGTAATATCGTGATTTATTATTGTAATATTTGTTCACAGACCTTAGTCATGCGTGATTAATATGTTGGTGTTACAATAAAGAATCCTCGAGTCAACAGTTGGTGTTTTGGGTTTTTCGTCCGTTATTACTAAGCATTTCTGAGAATCCTCAAGGAACAGCGTGAGCCCGAGCGTAGCAAGAGCTGGGCATTAACGGTTTACGAGACGTGGCTGACAGCATCTTATTACCTCATAAATTATATAAGATTTTTAAAATCAAGAAATAAATAAATAACGATAAAATAAATAATAAATAAAAAACAGCGAAGAGTATTACATTACAAACAATGCATCACAGGATTTGAAATATAAATTTGATTTGTGATAGAAAGTGAGAACAACAGTGTAACAGTAACGAGGAAAGGAAAACAAAAACTAATGAGACTATTTGTTAGAGTGCCGCAGTAAGTTTATCGTGTCATACCTAACGGATTTCTCATCACATAACAGCTGTGCCAGATATGGTATTGTGGAGTTTTTGTATTTGGTAGTCCTAGCATATAGCCGCCTATAGCTGCTTCTAGTTTTACCAGATGAAATGCAAGGAGATAGATGCGTATAGAGAGGATGCTCGGGGTCCGACAATATTGTATTCGCTAGTTTCTTACATGACATAATATGTCTATCTACAATAGTGTTCACCAGTTGGTTTAACGATATCCCACTTGCCCTACTAACAGCTTTTAGTGCCCTTCTCAGCGAAGCAAAGTCTTTCTTAAGTAGTCCAGGAAAGACTAATGGGGAGCAGTAAAGGAGGATGGGTAGAATACAAGAATTTACAAACTGAGAAAGTAAAGACTGCTTTATGCCAGACTGCCTAAATTTCCTAATGTAGAACGTTAAGCGAAACATCTTTCTAGTAACTAGCAAGATGTGGGAAGACCAGGAAAGATCGGTGGAAAAACTCAGCCCAAGGTACTTGACATTAGATGTATTTTCAACCTCTGTGCCGTCAATGAGAGTGGGGCCATGTGAGCTAACTAGTTGCTGTAGGTCACATTTACGTCTGAAAGTGAAATTGACTACCTGACATTTAGACGGATTAAGCTTAAGTCCGTTTGAAGAGGACCACTGACTAATTTCCGACAGAAAGCTATTTAATTTGGAACAATCTGACTGAGAGTTGACAGGCATAGAAACCGAGAGGTCATCGGCATACTTAACAAAAGTGGCTACATCAGAATGAGGCAAGTCATGTAAGAAAAACGAAAACAGAAAGGGAGAAAGAACAGCACCTTGAGGAACACCAGCTAAAGTAAGTGAGGTAGTGGAGGATTTTCCATTGTAGACGGTGTACTGCTTCCTTTCAGAAAAATAGGAATGCAACCACTTATTTGTCCAGCTTTCAGCCTGTGTTGCAGCAAGCTTACTTAGCAAGAGAGACCTGGGAACAGAGTCAAATGCAGATGTGTAATCAAGGAAGGCACAGCGAACGTATTTAGCTCCTTTATCTAAACTAGAGACTATGCTATGGTGGAGGACGACAGCGGCATCTAACGTACTCCTACTATGTTTATAAGCAAACTGGTTGGGGTCGTTGAAAGGTTTTAAAGAGGGATCAAGATTAAGTAAAATAAGTCTTTCCATAACTTTCAAAAAGGTGAGGTAATTGAAATGGGTCTAAACTTAACATTAGGTCCACTTGTAGATTTAGGCACTGGAACGATCTTGATGTTTTTCCATGATTCAGGTATAATACTTTTGGAAAACGATTCGTTGAAAATGTCAGTTAGCGGGGAACACAAGATGTCGGCACACTTCTTAAGGATAACAGCAGGAACACCATCAGGACCGAGGGACTGAGTAGGCTTGAGAGATTGAAGACACTTGAGGACATCATTCGTGTTAAAGCATGAGAAGCAGTCATTGTTTACACTATTTGAGTTAGGAATCATAACATTTGCTGGGATACATATGAAGGATTCATTAGGCATGTTAACATCTACAGAAATATCATTCAACATTTGCTTACCACCTGTGATTTCCTTTAATAACTTCCACATATTTGATGGGGATTTACATGAAAGAAACTTCTGGTTATAGAGAGCATTCAATCTTTGTAATTCAAGCTTAATCAAAGTGTTCATTCTCTTAACACCAGATTTGTTTTTCATTTTGAACAACCTTTCTTTTTCACGGCGGAGCTTTTTGAGTTGAGAAGAGGAGAAGCGATCGAATTTTAAGAAGATTGTCTCTTTTGGACAACAAACATCAAGACAGAAATTAAGATAATGTGTTATGTTGGCAATTGTGTTATCAAGAGCTTGTTCAGTAAATAGATCCCAGTTTGTGTCTTTTAACATGGACCTTAGGTTCAGTATGTTGTCATGGGAATAACATCTGTGTTGTGTTTTCTTTCCAAGGTATGAGAAGACCCTTTTGTGCTGCTTTCCATATACTTTGGGCAATATTCTTATGATACAGTGATCTGAATTTAGTAGTGGGGCTCTTTTTCGAGCTTCAAATATTCCTGCATCGTTTGTAAACACAAGGTCAAGAGTGTTGTCCATTCTAGTCGGGAAGTTGACAATATTATCGTGTCCAAGTGAAATTAGGAAGCTGTGGTCACTAGAATTAAAATCACCAGTAACTATAGACAAGGAATTTCCGAAGGAGGTGGCAGCAAGGGAAGTAAATTCATCCGCAAATAAAGATAATTCTGTGGAGTTGCATCCAGGAGCAATATACATGTTCGAGATGTAAATGTAGTTGTATTTTGACAAATGTTTAGGTCGACACTTAACGGTGAGACAGTCAATATTGTCACTAGAGAATTTGAAACATACATTATTAGACGTACACCATTGTGAATTGATGAAGATGGCGACACCGCCACCGCGTTTCTTCCTGGAACTACACCGATCTTGTCTGAATAGTTTGAAATTATTTAGATACACTAGATTGTCATCATATAGATCATGAAGCCATGTTTCTTGAAGTGATATGATCCCAGTATTATGATATATAATGGAAGACACCAGCGATTGAAGACAGTTAATTTTAGCCGGCAGGGAGCGACAATTGGTACTCATAATTGCGGGAACAGTCATGAATTGAATAGGGGTATTTTTTAATGCTCTCTGCCAGCCGGCATGATGCTTTTTCTTGTCTTTTTTATGGAGTTGCAGATCAGTAGGTTTTAAAGATATTAGATATTCACGAGAATAAATAATCCGATTTGAGGTCATATTTGAATAAGATTTATTGATTAAAATATCAATTAGAAATGAGAAATTAGATGCAATATGATTTGTAATGTTTAACGTAATTGGTAGCCCAAGATTTAAGAAGGCCGCCAAGGTCACGCAGGAAAAACAGTGAAATCGCGGCGCCATGTTACATTAGTGCGTTAAAACAAAACAAGGTGCACTACAAAATCAGGTCAACATCTATAAACTCTTTCTTAGTACTTCTACGTCAGGTAACATGTCGACAGAATATTTTCATTGGACTGTCGTAACTAGTGTGATGTGTTTAGTCCTTCCTTTGGAGCAGACTGAACTCTATCAGTCAGGTTTGCAATGTGGCCACCATTTTAGGTGGTTTACCATCACGGTGCACACTGACTTGATGATTTTAGATGGTTGGAGGCAACTAGCATGAAACCTAGGTTCAAAGCCTCCTGCAACCATCTTATATCATCAAATCAGTGTGCACCGTGACTGTAAGCAACCTAGAATGGTGGTCACACTGCAAGCCTGGCTGACAGAATTTAGTCTGCATCAAAGGGAGCACTAGACCCTTCACGCTGGATACTAGTGTCCAATCAAAGTATCCAAAACGGTTTACAGGAGGTCAGTCACCACTCCGAATAGCTCAGTGGTAACCTCTTTGACTGCAGCACTGGGTGACGCGGGTTCCCTTTCGAGGTTGCAGATACGCCCTGGCGACCAACTAGTGCAAACTACGGTGAACCTAGGTCCCAGTTTTCCTGCCGACACCCGTCAATGATTACATAAAGAAGTCTGTACCTTCATACCAAACAGTTCTGAAGAAATTTTAAAAGTAATTTCTGAATGTTTGGGGAATTCGGATGCATTTCCTCAAAATGTTTACATTAGATTGTCCCAAAATACTTTACTTGGCTTTTACTACTAATAGTTTTGGGGTTTCTCATAGCAACCTATGAACATAACTTGAATACTTGTTTCTTCACTATTATAACAGCGAAGAAACAATTACCTGATAACAAACGGAGTTAGAAAAATTGAAAAGGATATTAGAAAGACTTGCACTACCATCCCCGGAGAGTAATTTATTTTGTTATCTGAAATATGTGAACCAATGAAATGCTACTGTGAAATGCAAAATTCACTTAACAATAGTGTCTGAATGGCAGCGCTATATCATAATGAAAAATCTTTGCCATCAAAAATTAGGAATAATATATTTATGTAAAAATATTACATTAACATTTAGGATGAAAACAGTAATTAATGATTGTTCGCAAATGGAATATTATCGCATGTGTCTCTTCATCGTCCAAAAGATCTGCTTAAATGTCTTGAAACAAGAGATTTGACAAAACCACCTAGCAATAAAATTTAGTAATCACATAGATGCGGTAGTGGCATAGTGGTTAGGACGCTCACCGACCATGCACATGGTCCGGGGTTCGATCCCCGGCCACAGACGCACTCCTTTACCTCGCTAAGCCAGAAATAACCCTGGTAAAGAGGAAAGGTTGGACATGAGGCAACCTAGGAACCCCATCCTGTAAAATAAACACTGCTACAGAAACTTCAAGCCAATAGCTTGGAGCCCTATGTTCCACTGGGGAACGTGAAAGAAAAAAGTAAATAAAGGAATCTATGAGCTTCTTTTTAAATAGAATCTTTAATTCTGTGTATTTTCTTTATCTCTAATTCTTTCCAGATAATAAACCATCAAACAAGCTCAAGTTTCATGAGGTTCTGTCTGTCTGTCTGGATTCAACATAGAACTTGGCACCGAAGTGCAGCAGTTCGAGTTGCCACGTTCCAAATAGCACACAGAGGTAGACAAGAAGATGAGTGGAGAGAATTAATACAGTCTGACAAGTATAAGAGTGAAACAGAATGGGTAATGGTAGAAAGGAATATGAAAGATTACAGAGACTGAATACATCTGCGCCACTGACAACGATTTTGAGCCATGTCACCTATTGTCTCCAGCCATTGATTCCTAGAGTCCCGAGGGCCCCAACCCGGGAGTCTGCATCTCCCTACCTGACTCAGTTTAACTGTCAAGGATTTCATGGATTGATGAGGCCATGTTTTTGTTTGGCCACCACTGGCTCTTTTCCAACCTGCACCTATCTCAGCTAGTAATGCTCGTCGGGGGAGGCGATGGTTAGGCATGCGCAGCACGTGACCTAGCCATCTCAGTCTATGTAACTTTATAGCTTCGTCGATTGATTTTCCCTCTTTGCCCAACACTCTACGCCTAACCTCAACATTACTTACCTTATTAAACCACCTAACGTGAGACAGAGATCGCAGACATCTATGATCGAAAGCAGTCAACCTTTTCATGTCTTCAACGCGTATTGGCCATGTTGCAGAGCCATAGAGAAGGACGGAGCGAACTGATGAGCAGTACACACGTCCCTTGGTTGATAACCGGATGTCACGCCTACGCCAGAGATGGTGTAAGTCAGCGAAAGCAGCTCGAGCTTTTCGGATCCGTGCTGAGATTTCATCGCCAATCAGTCCGTTGGTGCTAATACAACTTCCCAAGTAGGTGAAGTGGTCAACATGTTCTATCACTTCACTCCCTATCACTAAGTTAGGGGTTGACGTCATGAGGTTCACACAGGCTACTGTTATCAAACAGTTAAAACGTGATTAGTGCATTCAAAACGAACACGTAGTATATTTTCCCCAATTTTGGTAACTTGGCTCCCAACCATTGATATATTATCTCCTGACACAGGTAGATTTACTTTCACTCCTAATTACATCATCATTTGTAGAACCCTATGCTCTATGCTTGATACATAACTAAATGAGCTTAACTCACAATATTTTTCGCGTATTTTGTTTGTTCACTAAAAATTTTCAAATGATTTACGTTGCCTTAGAATTTATGCATCTCAAAATCTTATTTCTTTCCTTGTCGCTTTCCTAGAGAATCTCTGAGGGTGTTTCACCAAGATCCTCGTTAGTGATTGATCAACAAAACTTCTTTGTTGAATAAACTAAAATATGTTAAAAATATACAATAAAACTATTTGCTTTCATTATTCAATTTGTAATCAGTTGATAAAATCCTGAAGAAATAAAATTGTCCCACCTTATCCTGTTTCGACAGCTTTATTCAAATTAATTAGGGAAGATTCGTAGATGAAGAAAAAACCTGCATGAACTAACAATTTAAGAATATCATGGGATAACTTGCCTAAGGTCATATGACAAGTTGTACGTAAAATATCTCACGATGTCACTGTAGAAATAACTGTTACTGCTTCTTTCTTGGTTTGAAAATACACGTTTATTTGTTCTCATGAAATTAAATGTAAGTTCCCTTGACCAGTAGCATTCATGATGAAAGCAAAGAGAAAAGCTGAAATTTCTTATATCCTAACTACACAAAACGACTGGTCCTCTTATTCAACATACGTGACCCGCCTTCCATTGTTTTACTTAACACCAACGGATCATTACAAAGTCAACTCTTGAAAATAAGTGGTACTTGTTTGTATGCGTCCAATGAGTTACATGTTCATGTATTTTGAAATAAGGAAAATAGTATGATTACATATTCTATCTTAACCACATCTGCTTAGATGATACGTAAAAAGAAGAAAAAATAAAAATTATTCGTGATAAATACATTTTTATACAGATAAAAATACTCTACCATCAAGCATTAGAATAAAAATGTTTATCACGACGGTGCAAACGGTTGCCAAGGATTGTGTTGATACGGTCTTGTGGGCATATTATCTGTTTAAATAAATGCAAATAAAGATGAACTTGTAGATTACTTTGTTGACGTGATAATTCACTTCAAAAGACTTCAAACTATCCTACATGAGAATATTCTTAACATAGGCTTTTTGAATCCTCTTGATCGAAGCTAACTGGAGAATTCTCTGTTAAATAAATAAGTATGAGGACATTAGGATTTTTCTCATAAAAAAGTTTCATTGTCAACTTTTAGCTGACAATGACTGGAGATTTCAGGACTACTAGCTGTGCAAAGCTCATGGTTTGAAACAAGAATAACAGGTAATTGGAATCGAATCATTGTGTCTAAATGTTGATTTCACTTCATTCTTTTATTTTTGTTTAAGAATACAACTGGTGCAGAAATCCAAGTTGTTCAAATGTAATCTTTAAGTGTTTACACACACCTTGTCATTATTGAGAAGATAGGCATACTTTTTTTTGTCTAAAACTTATCCAAAATGGTCACATCAGTGAATAGGATAGTTAACTTGGATCAATACAATTCAGTTGAGGAACTTTGCTGACTAGCACATCTACCGGTTTATACCTAACTACTCAGAGCACGCGTCATAAAGTAAAATATCGAACACTACTGCCCTGTAAAAATATCAGTTCTCGAGTTACTGAGAAATAATTCTACTCTGATTTTTTTGTCAGTGAGTAGAAAGGATTTGTAATTCCGCTAGTGATTGAAATACCTTCATCACGCCAGAGAATCACGACTATTCCTGATAATCTTATGAAGTTAGATGAAGAACATTTTTAACATGAGATAACAAACTTACATGGAAATGGGTATTGCTGAGGAAGCGTTTGTGGTATATTGAAATATGGACTTTGAATTACAGGAGTTGCTCCATATGTTGAATTATGCCATTGAGGTTGCATGTTGGGATGAACATTCCACTGAGTTACTGGATATGGCTGTAAAGATGGTGTGAAGTTATAAACTTGTTGAATCTGTTGTTGTTGCTGAGTTGGATAGGGTGCACGTGTTTGATGAGAGCTTGACGACGGTGTTTGATGTCCTTTTGGATCTAACGAGGATCTGCCACGCTTATTATCCAAATTTTTCGATCGGTTTATATGCTTTTGATATGAACTTGATGGTTCTACTACATAAATTCAAAAAGAAGATACCTCCTTTCTAATATATATATATAAATTTGCGACAAATAACTTAAATTTGTGAATTTCATCTCTAAACCTTGGTTACTGGATTTGAAGCGTTTAGAACACTTGTAGAGGTAAATACTCAAACACGTAGACAAAATATATTTTTCACACCCCAGCAATACGCACCTTAAGGAATCCAGTGGCTGTAGAAACGGTATTAAACGCTTCAGATAACCTACAATCAAAGGTTAATACATGGCAATGGAGTTTTACAGCTTTTTCCTAGCTGTTAAATTGTAAACAGATTGATACTGATGAGCTTCGGAAATAGCGAAGAAGTGAAAGCTGATAAAGTATAAACCAAAAGTCTCTACAAAGACCATGAACAGTGATGAGTGATGCGAGCCAAAGAAATAAAAAAAGCATTGGCAGTGGATCATTTGCCCCAACTCTTTAGGCTCAATAGAGAAACAAACTGTGAAAAAACTTGTGCTAAGTAAAATAATCTTTGATAGGGATGTAACTGCAAAGATTTCTCACGAGGTACGACTGCAATGCTGAAGAAGTTATTTTGAAGGGCATTTCAAGAGTCCTACGGTCAAATCATCCAACCCTTATGCGAATGAGGTGTAGACATTGGTCTTCCTACTGTACCTGAGTTTCAAAGAGCAATCCTTAATCCTCCACAAGAAAAAGAAACACCAGAGGTGTCCAAGTAGAGTGATGATGCATTAATCACTACAGTATTAGCTAGCATATCAGATCTTGCTTACGACAACGAGATATGGCTGTTACAAATGGAAGACATGAAAAGAACAGCATATTTGTAAGAATTACTACTGTGAAAATTCAGTTTGGGTTGGTTCATCTCCTGAGAAATAATCTTGAAGATAAGGTTATAACGAACAACTACTAACGGCAAAATCATCAGTATGCGAGCGCTATAGCATGAAAATCAATCCCCCTATGTGATAAAAGATTATTAACACACATGTATTCATCTAACTGAATATATTACCTGATGTTGATGCTGAGTGCTTCATTTTTAATTTGCGTTTATACTGCTTTTCTTGTTCATCATCAGAAAATTCAAGAACCTGGAATTTAAAAAAGGACACTAAACTCAAAACCATGATTTTAAGTACAATCTTATCAACCATATGAGATTTAAACGACTCTCGTGGATGACTTCAGCATTTGTAACACAACTGCATCAAGATAGTTTCATACGATATCAGCATATGGGAAACACTAATTCGAGCAGCTGAAACATTCCAGCACAACTTTGCAAAATTATTTGAAAAGTGTCTATTAAATAGATGAGTACTCTATGTCGTAGCGAACTAATTAGTCACTAAATACCAGCTAAACAAAATTTACACCCACAGAAAGTGAGGAAAACAAGCTTTCACTGTTTGGTGCTCCACCTCTGCAGCACAAGGATAACACCTATTGATAAGTTACGTCGTGTGGAGAAATGAGGCGCTTACGCTGATATTATTTAATAAAATTTTAAAATATGGGTTCTGTTACTTTATTGATACCATTAGTTGCTCTTGCAACAATAGAGCGCTTGCACGACTTTCATCTAAACAATACATAAAATTGATGATTACGTCTTTTAAACCTATCTATATAACGTTTCGGGTGCATCCTAAAGTTTGTGGAAGCCCGAGCGATTGGAAAGTTTAAAACAACTTTATGCATTCGAAAACAATTCGTCATCACATTAAACCTTCCTTGGTAAACTTTAGTTCGATAAGAGGCTAGATGTACTATTACTTCCCTTCTTTGGTTCAGTGATCTTCATGATTATTTTGACCTCCAATATGTTCTTTTAGCTTGTTCTGAGTCTATTTTGCCATCCCTTAAATCTATTAATTTTATATGTATATATATAAATTCCTATGACAAGTCCGTGTGTGATCAAATTGTTCGAAATGTGTTGCGCAAATACATTACACCATGCAGAAAAATTTCATCTTGGTTTGTATAGACGAAATTAGTTGCTTTACCATTTTCAAACAACTGCGTCAACCACGTTTTCAGACACTTTGAGCACATTAATATCAAAAAATGATAACGCAATACGTTTTACATAAAGAGTTTGGCTATTTGATGTCTGCTACAACCAACAGAGTAATATTACACAATGATTTCGCCTGCAGACATGCGAGTTACATTTGTTGCAGTTTGTGTAATTTTCCATTTAAAGTCACTACTTTAAAGTTTGCTTATTCTACTTCACCAATAATGATGATGATTAATCAAATATAAACATGCTAATAAGTAAACCCTCGAATTTAAAAACTTACTTCTGGCGGAGGCTCTATATTTCCTACCCATGATGCATCAGATCCTTTAGTATTATTTGCAACTAATTTGTTGTAAAAAACTGGAAGAGTAAGTTCAGGCATATCAGGTGCATAAAACACAGACACCTCCTTCAAGGACTGATTAGCAATTTTCTTTTCTTCATTATCATTAGAAGTATCACTGTTAGCGGAAGACGAAACAGTTGGACAATTCTCATTTACACTACCGTTTTCACTGTGTTCATTATCCACTGAATCCAAATTATTATTGGTAGTTATCTCAACTGAAACTTCAGCGGAATCCACCTCTTCATTTTTTATCACTACTTCTTCAGAACACTCAGTCAGCTTCGTAGTAGTTAAATCAATTGTGGTAGTGATATGTTTATTCGGTCTTTGGGAACGAATACAGAATGATTCGGAAAGAACCACAAGATAAAATGGGGAACGGACAGGACCAAATGTTTCATAAATCTATAGCATATGCAGATGAAAAATGTAAATAAATTTGTATATTAATACCACCATTTATATGACTATGTTGTAACTAAAGGTACATTGAAAATGCTTTAACGACTGCAGTAGGATCTTTAGCAAATTACCAAAATTGACCTAATAAACCATCTATATATCTTGACTTATGTGTGGCTGGAGGTTATAACCGGGAGGCATTGAACCAATATGTCGTGCTTTTTGGCACTCGTCAGCAAGGCATATCGGCTACCTCAAAGGAACTAACGCTTACCCCTTTCAGAGATTCGAACTCGCGTCGCCCAGAGCTGAGGTCAGAGATACTACCGCTGAGCTATTCAGATGCACATATGTCCTCCCACAGGACTGTGATTAATGCATTGACTGGTCACTAGGGTGTAACTACGTTAATGTTTAAATACTATGAGCGAATCATGTGCCAAAATTCAAGATCCTATACAAATTATTCATCTTAATTATTTACCGGTATCATAGCAAATATGAAGTGAGAAAAATCTCATTTGGCAACGCCGGGAGAATTATGAAATACTTGGCACCTTACTTATTATGAAAGTGAGTAATGTATATCAAGAAGTAAACACAGATGACTTTTAAATTTGTCAAAAATTAGCTAATTTAGACGAATTATCAAGGGAAATAAAGCCTCGATTAAATAGCTTTTCAAGTCTGCAGAGGTTTTCGGAACCACCTTTAGATCTTGTTTATGCTTTCACTCTTACCTGTCTGGAAGTTTCTCCTACATATACGGCGTCACAATCCCCACAATTGATCTGGTACACACAATTCTGTTGCTTGTCTTCTTCTGTTTCATCCTTAACCTTCACCAGTGATCAGTGTAGTGTCCGTTGCAGGGAAATACACTCCTATATCATGATTGTTAGGGATTTGATCTATCTCATTCGATGTTTCTTTGCGACAAGGAATCACCAATGTACTAACTCAATTCTTAACAACAGGTTTCGGTTCATCCTTATCTTCACATTTTAAATATCTTTTTATGAAGGCTTTGGGATAATTATTTGATCTTGAATCAAGTTTTTAAAACAAGAGATGTCTTTTTACATATATACCTCTGTTATGTTAATTTCGATTAATTCCCCTGAAAAAGCTCGGACCAGTTTGCCGAACGAGACGTTGGAACTACTCATTTTAATTTCGATGGGATATTACAAATATAATTTTTATAAATGTGTGTTTACTTCTGCAACATTAGTAATAAGGCCAATACTAATGTAGTACCTCAGGAGCTACATCTGTTATGTAACGGTGAATAATTCTGTTTCTGATAACAAGCTAACAAATACATCAGAATATGGCCCAGTACTATCACACAGCGGGAAAACTTGTTACATCCCTTAAATTCATAATGGTTGGGAAGCAATTAGAAGAGACAAACAAACATAAACAATGTAACCAAATGTCGTAGAATTATTCAATAAACGGGGAAATACGATACAATAAGTAAAATGAATACATCTGCATCACTGTGGTAAATTTGAAACTATATCACTTTTATTATAAATTATTTAAAATAATCTCAGCGGATTTAAGAGAAAATCAAAACAAGATTTTTCTGGATGTTGGGATTATTTTCAATAATTTATAATGACTAAATCTGACTCGGATCTCAAATTATTCCAGGAAATTTGTTACATCTACGGTCACTTTTCGCCTCAGTACAAAGGTCAACAGCCTCATTGCTCAAATCAGCTTTAGATTAGCTCCAACTCAGTTTTACTTTCGTTAACACCACATTCGCATAGACAGCCAACAGGTACGTGCAACACATAAGCCAGCCATATAAGACACGATGTGTCTATTGGTTTTGCGATTCGCTTGTCTCTGAAACTTGAATCTAACAGTTGTAGGTAAGATGTCAAAACCAATAAGCCAGGTTCAAACAAAGAATCCCCTCATAAGTAAATAAAGCACATCCATCCTATTTTCGAAGTATCTGGCTAAGTACCTCAAAACATTGATTCTTAGAACTCTGAAGATCAAAGCAGTGCAACATACTTTTAACCAAAGAGACTAAACCATTCGTTGAAGATTATATGTGCTTTTGTTATGTTCTGCCTTGATCACTATTCTTTTCCACGATAGTCTCATATCATTGTTCTTTTAAGGAGATAACATCTTGGCATTTACAACACAAGTCCCAGCCATCACAACTGATGAAGACTCAATTTTATCGATCAACTTGCCTTTCTTACATAAAACTCTGCATCTAATTTTAGCACCACTTACTATGCTACCTCACCCAACGTAAACAATTAAATGAAGATTGTACTTACAACTAAAACTTTGCATTTATCCTAAGATTTCCCCAGCAACCGGCATATTAGGATTAATCAGGCAACCAAATAAATGAGGTGGTTAGCATTGTTAACCATTTCACAACCTACTCGTAACTAGGAGTCATTGAAGATCAGTCCCATGAACCAGCTATTCTCGGATATCAATTCTATTTCCAAAATTGTCGACTCACGTTAGAAACACTATCGATGGCGGGCGAATGTACTGCAGTATCCAGCTAGCTGATCCACTCGTCGAAGTGTCTTCTAAATACTGAAGTACAGTTTTAAATGATGACACACTTTAGCAAGAAGTTAGCAACAATACAATAAAAAGTTAGAAGCAAATTCAATTTATTTTCATAAAATACTTTGGATTATTTGAATGCAGTTAAGTCGAATACTTAAATCTGAAGTACATGTAAGTTGAACAGAGACAGAACATTCGAGTCAGTGACTAGAAAACAGTTGACAGTTGACCAAGTTGCTTGCATAATTACAAAAAAATTACTACTTATCTGCGGATAACGTTAGTCATTAGTAGAGTACACTCACCTCTCCCAAATGCCTGCCATCGTCCAGGAAAAGTGCAGATCCCTCATCCAATACAACTGCTGAACCAACAGAACGAACTACAACTAAAAAACGTAAACAAACGAGGGTGCAATAGCGAGAAATTTATCGGCGAAGAATTTTCAGAAAAGCATTTTTGCATTTGCAAATCGTGTTTGAATACTGTTGTGTGTGAGACACCAATTAACATTCTTCAAACGTGATCCAAAGAAACAAAAACTCGCTTAGAATCCAGATCTTGTAATCAGAATTTCAAGATCAGGTGGCAAAAGGTAACTCCTAAAATACATGTCGTAAACAGAACTGCTTTTGGTTAGTACGCCAAACATTAAGCTCTACATAATTAACTGTATTTTTTTGTTTAAATGATAACCAATATCTGATGCAAGCAAAAAATTGTCTTACCACAATCATCGAAAACTTGAGAAACCTTTCCAAGTAACGAAGTCTTCACATCTGCTGTCTAAGGAATTCCATACATACATATTATACGGAGGCGAAAATTTACCAAATCTGCTACTGACTTCAAAACGTAATCAGATGGAACTGAAAAGACTGGGTCTTTGGGCTGAAATGCTATAGTTAAGTGGAACAATTAGCCTACTTTCCGAAATACAGGCCTTTCGATTTTTTCAGGCTCACTGTCAGAAGAAGTTTCAGATGAAGATGTTTCATGAATTGTGCAAGGCGAATTTTGCCTATTGTTCACGTCCTTCAAACTATTTACAGGCAAGGTAGATTCCTGAAGTATAAAACAGTAAGCATTGTTTATTGTAATTTCTTTTCAAATAATTTCAAATAATAAATCGCATGAAATGACTCACAGCCAACCATCATAATCAAAAGAAGGACGTAGATAATTATGGTCAGCATTTACACAAAACAATTGGAGGTAGTTTAGCTGAATCGTGTACGTATGTATTTGCGTGACATATTTCGGACAGTATGATCACACACGGACTTGTCATAGAAATGTACGTGAAAACAATGAAGCCTTTAGAGATGGGAGAATAGATACAGGTCAAGACGAAAGTCTATAATGAAGGTCAAAATAATACTTATCATTAAACCAAAGAAGGGAAGTAATAGTACATCTAGCCTGGTATCAAACCCAAGTTTACCAAGGAAGGTTTAATGTGACGACGAATTGTTCTTGGACGCGTATAAGTGGTTTAAACTTTCCAATCGCTAGGGTACGCCCCGAACACATTTTATATATAGGTTTAATAGATGTGTCAATATCAACTTTATGCCTTGTATCTATAATGTTTCGCAACAGCTCGTCTGTCTCCACCATTAATGGGTTTAGAGGATTTGACTGGCTTCTGAAACTAACAAGGGATATATTGTGAAGCCCCTACCTGCAGAGATGGATGAGCCCTCCCAATATAAATGTGACAACAAGTACGTTTAAACTAGCAGATGCAGTATAGTTAATATGTTTAAATTCACAAGCCTGTTACAGTGTAGAATCCTGAGAGCATTTTTAAACGTTGAACAGTGAAGTACCCGACAATCACTAGCTGATACCACACAGGATAGAAAGCTCTCAGCTTTTCATTGTAAAGATAATTGTCACAGATATTAACCGAAAAACAGTGACCGTTTCTAGCCTGCTTCGCTTTTGCCGACACGAAGACCACCAATATTATTCAACTTTATAAGTAGCTTACAAGGAAACCAATAGGTAGATAAAAAGCCAGATCCACGTTCGACCACAGATCAAACACCAAGTTAAAATGATAGATCGAAATACCTATCAAAAAGCACAAAATAAAATCACAACTACGTGAGTCAGTCAGTTGTACATTGAAGATTCGGTTAGAAAAAAATGGGGTCCTGAAATAAAATGATGTGTCAAATGGCTAGAAGGCACGCTACGTACGCTAAACTATAGCTTGATGACAGTCAGACCAAGATATATTACTAATACAGGTCATGCACAAAAAGTTGTTTTTCAAGCTTTTTAGAAATAGTAAGAGTTACGGCAGACACCAACATCCAAAAGCAACCATAATCGCACAGATACTCAGTTAAAACACTACCCGTATCTGCTTTTTCATGTACTAAGCCAGGAGACACACTTTTGTAAGGGGGCTGAAGATACGACCCAGTTGCCCAAGCTGAGATAAATGTAGTGGGACTCGAACCCGGAACCAATGGAATGAAAGTTGTGTGCATTAAACCGGTGAGACATCTCCAGTCACACAGAATATTAACTTTTACTGTTAACGCTCTGTTTTGTGGTGTGGTAACCCAAACTGAGGAACTTTTGCGAAGAGCTGTTGATTGGTCATACTTTCTGACATGACATATATATATATATATATATATCCATTTTTTGCACTCATTGGTTTTTTTATCACTGATTTATAACGGTCATATATGTAGAGTCATATTTAAATCTTTTTGCCCCAATTCGCTCCAAAAAGCATGCCTATCAAAAGGAGCCGCTTTGGAAAGGTTATGTGCCAATTCCCAGTTGAAGGAATAGTGTGATAACAGCAAGAGATGGTTTCATAGCATGTGCACAAACCTAACTCTTGCAGCATACAAACGCGGCTGCAAACCTCTAGAGAACTATATGTGCAATGATTGCTGTAGTAAGACTGTTTCGTATGACGGAAGCCACTGCCACTCTCAGTGAGGCTCTAAGGTTCATGGACTCCAAGGGTCTCCTACCACAGAAGAGCGACTACTGTTTACACACCGGTGACGTGACTAGCATCATCGACAAAGGAATACACGTTCCTGATGAGACAGTCTGTCAGGGAATGAGTGCCCTTCAGCACAGAAGAGCACCCAACATATTTAAGGCACCCCTACGATACCGGGTAAGTCCTCCATTGACAATAATAGAAAGACTGGCACGAAGAAGAGGAGTACCAGGGGTCGAAAACCCGCAGCTCAAGTCGCCCAGGGACTTGTAGACCAAACCTTGTTCACACCGGTGGATAGCAGACACAATCGACTACGGTTAGTGAGGAGGTCGCCAATGAATGGTGTTATGTAGTCGCCGGCAAAAGGCAAGAAAAGGACACCATAATGGCCACACCGTCCACGGAGGACAGAAACTTACACTGTAGAGAAAGAAAGCCACGGCAAGCAAGCTTGATCTGTCTAACAGGTCTCTCATTCTACACAAAGTGGAAGAATCACCGACTTTCGATCCCAAGATCACGTTTCAATACGACCTTAACATGGTCAAGCCCCTCTTAGATAAGCTACTGCCAAAAACAGTATCAAGCATAACCATACACAGCTTATACAGAATCTGCCAAAAGCCTGACTTGATAGCATATCAGCCGGTACGCCTTCTCGAAGTCGTACTATACTCCAAAGAAGAGAGGGATGCGATTCTAAGCAACTAGTAAACTCTCAAAAGATCAGGCATATTCGTCCTGCTGACTCATGCCTAGCAGACCGTGTCAAAAGACAAACTGCAGCCCTAGAATTAAGCGAACGGCACCGAAAAAAACTTAAAATTAAGGGTTTTCGGGTTATCAAAGTCTGATGATACTGAAACCTCTGTGGGTAATCCGCGGAAGCACCAAACTGAATAGACAGTTTACTACACAAACACCCGCGGCCTCTTGAAAAAACGGACTAAACTGGGTAATATGATAGACTCCGGAAATTCGGATGTAATTATTATCACAGAGACATGGCTCATACCCGATGTCACTGATAACGAGGTAAATCTGCCAAACTTCGAAGTGCATAGGGTGGACCGACTAGGCTTCAAAGGAGGTGGCGCAGTCATCTACTTCAAGAAATGCTTGACCGTGCGTAGCATCGAAGCACTCGCTCACGAAAGTGAGTCGTGCGAACTTCTACGCTGCAGACTTAAATGTATATGCCAAGACATTGACCTCATTGCCACGTATCGCAGTCCCGACTGCAGTGCAGATGACTTCCTAATAGAAAAGCTAGGCTCCTGGACTTCAAAATGTCGAAGTCTCGTAGTCGGCGACTTCAACGCCACAACATTTGACTGGACGAGCCTCACAATGCCATCTTCAGAAAACTTCTTCGATCATAAATTGCTAGAATCTAGCATTTCGCTAGCCCCAGTCCAACATGTCATTAAGCCCACGCGCTATAACTCACAGTACTCCTCAGCCATGGAATTAGTGTTCTCCCATGGTGAAGATGTGGATCTCATACATCTTCCTCCTCTAGGGAGAAGTGATCACGCTGTGCTCATTTTCAAGTTCACAGTAACAGCATCATAGATCAAAACCCCAACTCGACCAAACGTTTGGAAAGTTGACATAAATTCGATCGTCTCAGCAGCCAACTCAGTGAACTGGTAAATCAACCCAGTCACAAGTAGAAGTCTCATGGGACCCAATTAAACAACTTTACACCCAGGTAACTGAACCTTTTATCCCTTGGTTTGTCCCAAAGGGTCGGAAAAATTGCCCCCTTGGATAAACCGAGAGATTCGTAGGTTACTCAGGGGTAAACACAAAAAAAGGATCCAGATTGCCCAAGGGACAACAACATACAACGAAATAAAGCCTAAGTGATCCAGATTACCTTACATGTATGGCTTGCCAAAGATGCATAAGCCTGACATCCCTATGAGACCAATATTATCTATGATTATTTCGCCGTATCACAAAGTAGCTAGGTGGCTAGTAGAAATGTTGGAACCAATCCGTAGTAAATTAGCAGTCTACAGCCTTAAAGACACATTCCAGTTCGCTAAACAACTAGAGAATCTAAATATCTCAAATAAATTTATGGTATCCTTTGATGTGTCTTCACTGTTTACAAAGATCCCATTGGAGGAAACAATACAAATTATATGTCAACATGCCGAACTTCTTCGTCTGCCCAAGAACGATCTCAAACAACTTTTAGTTATGTGTACCAAAGATGTGCAGTTCCAGGTCAACAACACTCTATACCGCCAAATTGACGGAGTCGCCATGGGAAGCCCCCTGGGTCCGATTCTGGCAGATATTTTCACGGATAGTCTAGAACAAACAAGGTTAAAATCCCCAATCAGCCAGACAAACTTCTATACCAGGTATGTCGATGACACTTTCGTTATTTGTAATTCTTTCAATGATGCATCTCAAGTATTAAAAGTCTTGAACAGCTCCCAAACTAATATTAAGTTTACAATAGAGTATGAAAAAGAAGAGAAGTTCCATTTACTTGACCTGGGTATTCAACGAGATATAGACGGCAAAATCATAAGACATACACACAGAAAAGAGACCTGGAGGGCGGTTTATCTTAACTTCAAAAGCTTCTGCCCTATAAGTTACAAAAAGGGATTGGTGGGAACATTATTTGATCGTGTAAGGAAGCTGTGTTCAAAAGAAAAGATTGAGGAATAGCTACCCATTGTGGAGAAATGCCTACGCGACAACGATTACCCACAAAAGTTCAAACAACTAGTTGTTTGAGACAATCAAAAGTGGACAAATACCCACCTCATGTTACCTCCAACTATTTACATGTACGTGCCAAAGCACATACATTGGAAGAACAGAGAGAAGGGTCAGTGTCCGCATCCATGAACACACACCAAAGAACTTGAGACTGAAAGGTCCGCAAGCATTAAACAGCGCTATTGCTCGTCATCTATTGGACACTGGTCATATTGTAGACAACCTGAAGTCGTTTAAAATAATCAACAAGCAAAACAAACCTAGCTTGCTACGCTTTGCTGAGGCAATTGCTATCAAACGACTTAAACCAAATCTATGTACGCAGAAAGAGACAGTGGTGAATCTTGCACTGCCCTGGTGAAAACAAAATATACAACTTTTACGAGTCACCATTTTTCTTGTTTAGAAAACTCTACTTTCTCATCTAAACATGACTCACCCTACCTTGTTTCTTTCTTTCCTTTTTTCTATTGGCTATTAGATAAGATCCTTTCTTTAGTTACGTAATCTGCTTTTTTGTTATGCTCTTTCTAGCTAAACCTTGACTCTACACACACATGTATATACACAACCCTGGTTTTTGTTTCCAAGCCTAATTGTCTAATTATTCTATAAATAGTCAGTGTTTGTAACTCCTTATCAGTTAAATCATTCCGGACTAATGTTACTTTTACTTCCTACCAATTACTCCTTATGATTGTGGAAAAGTATGTTCATATCTCTAATGTATTTCATATTTTTTAACGTTCAGGTTGTAACCAGTTGAGAATCCTCGAAATAATAAAATATGAGCTCGTATTATCCTGGTACAATTGTTGTTCTTGCTTTGTTCAAGTTTATTAATGGGAAGAATTGCATGAAGTAAACACAAATGTTGAAACCTGTTCGCCACACTTGAATCCTGAGACCAGGAAATTATACAACACTGCTAGGAATAAAGCTATTGCAGAAATCCGCCAATTAAGGATGAAGTTCGAAGCACTTCTGGCTTAAAATGCAAAGGCACAACCTAAGAAAATTTCCTCGTACATGAACTTCAGGAATACAACATCCAATGGTGTCTTAAACCTGACTATTAACCATGACACAATCGAGGAAGATCAAGAAAAAGCAGAAGCAATAGCGGAAGCAGAGGCGGACTACTTATCTCAAGTCTTTACACGGGAGTCATTACTCCCCATAGGATCAGCTCTGGCTGCATCAGAGGAACAAGTGACAGATTCCGTTGACGTAGACAAAGACATCGTGCCCAACTGCCTAATGAAACTAGATGCAGACAAATCAATGGGTCCTGATAATCTTCATCCAAAGCTTAATCATCAAGGAGCTATCAGCACACATATCTGGCCCATTGATTACGATCTCTACTAAATGGAGAGTTACTGCATGACTGGAAAGACGCCATAGTAACTCTCATCAACATATTAGGATCAAGTTACAGGCCTACTAGTATCACCAGCACTTTAACCAAGACGCTGGAAAGAAACATCGAAAATATCATGGCATATCCGGGAAACATTTTGTTATCCAGAGCACGGTGGCTACATGTACTTTCAGATCCTTATGGGCAATTACCAGAGATCAAGACTAGAAAACAGTCCTTGTCCTAAAGAGAGCTCTAAGCCTATAAAACAATAAATCTAAATCTGAATATACACGTTTCAGTAATTCCAATTAGTCGATTATTCACACAAATCAAACACTCCACTACCTCGGGACTGGTTAAGCAAATCCAGAAGGAATAATCTTGTTCACTTATACGGTCTGCAACTTCAATTGCTTGTCGGAGGTCATGTACTGAGGTGGCCGCCAAAGTCTTACTTCGACAATGTTTTATTTTTGCGTGGTGCATTTCTCGCTGCCTGAAATGTACCATGTCTGCATTTCAATAAGTGGAACATTCGAGACAGGACCAGGAGCCAACTTGCAATCTCAGGATCAATTCAAAGGGTTTCCTCATATTTTTTGTTTACAACTACCCAAAATATTCATGATTTGTTACACTCGTGGTCGCAAACTTCAGAATTCCATTTCAAGTTTATTTGATATACCCTAATGATTCTAATACCAAACATCCGTTAAAACAGAGTTAGTTAATAGTGAAGAACGAATACTTTTTTCGCAACTCCAAATCAAACAGAATTTAGCAGACTTCTTATGGTTAGTTGTGTTGATTTCCATATGAACAATGTTCTTCAAGACTTTTCTGTTTTTCATCATTTCTCTGTTCCTGTAGAGATTTATTACCAAAATAGCCGTACGAGGCCACTTCGAACATCAAGCACCAGTAAGTACCAGTGAAGTACTACCGCACCAGTAACCTAGAAACGCTCAGTGAGCAAGTTGGAGAAACCTGGTAAATTTCATCATGAATATAATATGCTTAGTGGTGTTATTGTTATTAAATGGGATATCTGGTAAGTTTCAGGCTAGGTTTGGGAAAGAATAAGTTAAGGTTTAGCCTTAAAATAGGTTAGGGCTGGGTTAACCAAATAAGAGCGACATTATGGTTGGTTCGAGTTAGAATAAAGTTAATTCAGGCATATTTCCACGTTAGGGTTAGGTTAAGGAAACATTAGGGTTATTGTTAGGAATAGAACTAGATAATTACATACATTGAATGTGGTTAAATTACTCCATTGATACTCCAAACCAAAACTAAGAGGTGTTTTTGTTTGTATACCGAGAACGGTACCCTGTGTAACAGTTTGGTGCCATCTTATAGATAATTCGCATGAATATACCATTTTATGCCCGAAAATCGCCTTTGTCATGGGGTTGTTGTACTTAAGGTCAATTTTCCGTGAGTACTGACTGGTGCTTAAAGTTTCGAACTTCGCCCCTTGTGGAATGACGGCTCTCCATTCGAACCCAAGCCGAATAATAAATCTTAGGAAAGGCTTGTGTATTCGACTTAATGAAATTTTGAGAGAATTCGACAGGATACCATCAAACTCCTTAAAAATTGAACAAGCGAGTGACACCGTTATGTGCAACAAAAAGCTACTGGTCAAACTAACACTTACACTCTCAGTCTCCATGTGCAAGTGTGCCACTAACTTCATGAAGGCGCTAAGCACATGTCCAATATCCAATATCGTCACTACAAGCTAGTGTAGATCAAACTAATTTGTTTATTCTCGCTTTTCGTTTGAAAAGTAAAGGCTCTTGATTTTCCGTAAGATCCTGCCCAACGCAGCCCTCTACCCGACTGGCTAAAGTGAAGCTGACTCCAAGTGGATTAGTGCAAAGATTGGCCATAGGAGGTTTGCAGTATGCGATGTGTTAAGACCACTTCGCTGCTGTAAACGGGCCCACTCTCTAGGCCGTTATTTGTCAGTTGAAACGAGAGACAAAAATAATGATTACAATCAGTGCATATTACACTGATTTAGAAAGAGTAACATACAAACGGATAGATAGTCAAACATGATGGTTAAAAATAGATAAACAAAAGAAATTTTAAAAAGTGGTGAAAAAGAATAAATTATTAAATAGGTGGAGTATTCAGAAAGGTGAAACATGGGGTGATAGGCTGTGGAAACGGGATATGGAAGCATGACAAGTGATGGATAGGAGGCTGAAGGTCTTGAAGTTAACACGTAGTACGATGCATACTCATGCAAGATCTTATACCTACAACTACTAAAGTATTTGTTCTGCCCAAACCAAAGACAAATGAAACACTAAATTAGTCGTCTTAAATACTCACTATATTTCCAGGTTGGAATCATAGTGCCATACTGATTGCTTAACCAGCTAGGAATCGTAAAGAAACGGACGAACGTAACACGTTGAAGTGTTAAATTGTGTGAAAGCTTGACCGCTAGCCCTTAGCTAAATAGGCCAATTAAATTAGTGAGTGTCAGAATCTGATGTTGAGTGATGAATACTGTAAGCTAATAATTTTGGGGAACTACCTGCCACTACAATAATTTTAAAATGATGGTCCATTTGGACACAGTCTTTGCTTCTGTTCACGATTATCAAGCTTACGCTTACACCTGCCTACGGAAGATGCATTGTCCATCACTAATTTTTGAAGAGTTCCTGGAGACTGAAAACTCGAATCAGCAAGATAAGTAAGAGTACTCTATTGCAATACCCTCCGTAATTTGCCACAAGGTATCCCGCAAAGTCTAAATTGTGGAATACCTTTGTTACAGTGGTCCCGGACACTCGAAATATTGTAGGAAGGAAATATTTCACTCCAAGACGACGCTAACTTAGTTTGGGAAAATTCAATTTCTTCGGCTTTTCGTAATATGGTTTATTTCGGAGACACCACCACTTTTGTTGTCCGAATCGGGACCCATTTCGAAACGATGACATCCATCTTAAGTAAAGAGAGGGGCGAAGTGATATTGAGCATTTCAAGGGGTGGTCGTATGGAAATCCCTGGAGTCAGAGCACCTATCTATGTGTAAAGTGCAAAACCCCATATGCATTCGCCACACCACCAGTGTAATTCATGGACGCATCCAGCTTTTCAGTTAGGACGAGACCGAAGCCGCTCTGAGATGCCACTTTTGACAGGTTAAAGTCAAGCAGGAATCAACTTATATTGCGTGTCCTACAGGTGTGTAGTTGCGTTAATATGCATTATTTAGCTTGGAAATCTTGCTTTTGATCGGCGCATGGTTTCCCAAATTTTTCAATTTCACATGTAGCCTATTTGAGTTATAAAAGCAATCCATTCCTATGCAAATCCTTACTTTCTCCGCGTGAAAAAGTATAGAGGGTTCGATGAAGGGCTGTCAATGTGGTTGAAGATTGAACGATCAATTCATGGTTGTTTGCTCAAACTCACATTTCCCATTATTTTCGCGGGTGGTCAGTCTGCCATCTCATCGGTTGCTGTTCAGAAAGAAGCTAGAAAAACCTGCAGAAGTAATATCGTGATTTATTGTTGTAATATTTGTTCTTAGACCTAAACCTGTAATGCTAACAATGCTAGTTATATGTTGGTGTTGGAATAAAGAATTCTCGAGTCGCCAATCTGTGTTCTGGTTTTTGCGTCCGTTAGTACTAAGCGTTTCTGAAAAGCTTCGAGGGACAGCGTGAGACCCAGCGTAGCAAGGGCTGGGCATTAACGGTTTATGAGACGTGATTGACAGTTTCTGACAGTTGGTGACAGCTTTTCACGGTTTGGATAGTCTCCGGCTGTCCTTCCTGGTGCCAGCCAGGTCTTCTCTGAACAAGCGTTATCCGGAACTTTCTGGAATTTTGGTTGCGTTCAATGATGCATGGACCAAAGAAGGGAAAGGGCGTCTCGGAAGCAAACAGGAAAGTAAGACATGTTGACTTGTCTGTTACATGTAACGATGTGTTTGATGCACAGCATCATGAGATTGTTGATCATGTTTCGCAGTCTAGGGATAATACGGCGAAATTTCAACCTAGGAGTTTCGACGGAAACCCAGCTGACTATTTACAGTTTGTAAGAGAGTTTGAAATCATCTTAAGCAGCTTTTTATCAAACGATGAAATGAAGTTAATGTATTCGATGAGGTACTGCACTGGAGTTGCTGCAAGAGCTATACAGTGCTGTAAGTTAATACCTCCTGAAGAAGGATACTCTGAGGATATGAGTATACTGCATCAAAAGTTTTGAAGACCTTCGATGATTCTAAGTAACGTATTAGAGCTGTTAAGGGTAATGGTAGTCAGTTACAAGATGACTCCAAGGCGCTCAATGAGTTTCTGGATAACCTGATGACCTATAAGAATACGTTGATTCCGATGAATTGCATGAGCGATCTAAACTCAAGTTCCGTCCTAGAGGTAATAGCGAGACGCCTACCTACTCGACTTCAACGGAAGTGGGTGAAGATAAGCTCTCGTACAGAGGATGAAGGTATTGAGCCAAAGTTTGATGATATTCTGAAACTGGTAAACGATAGCGTCAATCAATCTATGAGCAAGTTTGCCAGTATATTGCATCCCACCTCTGGAATGGAGCAGTCTGAGAGTAAAACGCAAGCATTGACGATGAATGGGCCTCAGAGAAGCGGATATCGAGAAGGTTCTATGGTGTCTAGTAATGCATATAGACTTAGTGAGTTTAACAGCTTTCATGGTGCATCATCAACAGATAAGATACAAGCTGCAAGGCAAACACGGTTGTGTTTTACACGTTTGCAAGAAGTTCATACAATGAGGAACTGTGAATCATTGAGCAAGTTTAGTGATAAGCTAAATGTGAAATCAAAGTCTGACTCCGAATTGTGTGACGATAACGGTGTGGTGAAGGAGACTGTAGTTGCAACTGATAAGCCATTTTTGAATAGATTTTCGCAGAACATAGTTACATTCTCAGAGGAGAGTTCTGCTACCGTAATTTTACAAGGTATTACTGGTCAGAGCGAAGGTATCAATCCTTCAAGGATTTGTGAGGAGGAACCATAATTGTCTACTTCTGTTTATAAAGAGTGGATATCCTTTCTTTCGGAAGACGTCCATAAGATATTTTTGCTAAATTTTCCTTAGTGTAGGAGTGCTATAATGAGTCCTGGTTCTCTTGAATAATGTTTGCATGCAACTTTTATGCGTTATTGGGTTGTTGCTGTTGCAACTGAGTATTTGATCTGCGTGGGTTGATTTTCTGTAAACGTGAGTTTCTGATTTTCCTGTGGTTGTTCGCTTGTCGCCCGAAAATGGAACTTTGTCTTCGGATTTCTCCTCTCTTGGGAATTTGATGTCGTTGAAGATGTTAATTATTAGATGTTTTATTTAAGTCGTTTCTTTTGCTTATTACGAATGTGTCATCCACGTTAAGTATTCAAATTTCGGGTTTGATATCAAGCAGGATTATGTTTTCAAATCTTTGCATCACAGCTTCTGTGATCAGACCTGAAATGGACGACCCAATAGGTATCCCTTTAATTTGTTCACATATTTGGCGGTTGGATTGAAAATACGTTGTTAAACATAGGGTGTGAGGATATAGGCTATAACCAGGTGTTATCGCGCAGTTTCATCGGTTACCGCGTTCAGGGCTACAGGCGTTATAATCGCCTATTTTTTGGGAAATAGATCATATTTGACTAGTTTTAGACTTCTGGAGCCAGACGGCAGTATTTTGCTGCATTTCGTTCGTAATAGAGCGTAAAATTTTATATCATAGCTCGGACGGATTATCAATAAAGAAGTCATTCTTTCTAAGAAAGTTCGCATAGAAAGACTATTATTTGCATTATAGTGCGTTGAGGGTTTGTTTTTTGCGAGTTGTTTCAGATTTTAAGGTTGTAAATATACTACAGGCAATGGCAGAGAACTTAATGTCCTAGTACTTAAAATGAGTATCAGCTTTCTGTTGATTAGTAGCTAGCAGCTGTGTCATACAACTACTACACCTGTTACATAGGTTATATCAATCTTAATAATTATTTTGTTTTAGATCACTAAGATATTCTGAGATATTTAATGGCTTAATTGTGGTTATGAAAGATATGGTAGATGCACTTATGGCTCATATATTTAAAGGAGTTATTACTAAACAAGTTATCTGTAAGCATTTTGTGATGTTCTGGTTACAATGCTTGAGTGTATGGGGTTATTGCCGGCTTCTGTGAGTTAAGGGATATTTGGTGAAAATCATGATACAATGAAGGTTCCTATAAAGTCACTATGAATACTGCAAACTGTTGATAAGAAAATGCATCAAAGGAAAAAATGCCGAACAGCTAGAAAATACTACCTCAGTTTCGATGATTCTTACCTTTTGCATCTGTAAATCATCCTTCAAAAGCTCAGATTGATGGCAAACCATCCATGGTACCCCACAGGCCCTACGGAAATTTGTGAGAGGTCTTACATGTCAGGTTGTCTTAGGAATTGTAAGGTTGCAGATATTTCAATTTACCTGTCACTGAAATATCACTTATCTACTTCACGATGGTCTTTTCATTTGTGCAGTATTACACTACATTTTATCTTAACTGGATTTACAATTTAACTCTTATCATAACCTGTTCTAATTATTATTATTTGCTTGCTGCTATCCTTTAGAAGATGAACAATATGTGTGACAGTAAAAACCACAGAAGAATGCTGTCATGAACGAAGAATGAGAAAGGAGAATGAACCATTTTCAGCAAAGGTAGGCAAATATAAAGCGTTCAACTTTAATATTACTTCTTTCTTGCTTCAGCGATTTAAAAAAACACTTTGTTTACTTATTTGCAGATATCCGGTAACGTCAGTCAACCCGGTCACAGCGATTCGACATTGCCCCAATTATTACGACAAACAACTGCGTAAAGACATTTGCTTGTTATTATTTTTCATTAAATATATTTAACATCATGCTTACCAGACCTTTCTTGTTCTCTCTGAGTGTACCCATATTTGTCATGATGACTAGATGCAGGCATCACTTATCAATGAGACCTGACGAAGTAATTGGTGGCATATTTTAGTGTAATGTAAATGTGACTACGATTGCTACAGCTCAACCTATTCAATTATTCGTCTCGTGTACACTTCACCTTACACTGTAAGTTAACACCCATAATCATATGAATCGACATCACGCTTTAAGTGAAATATTGGTAATGAACTACTTTTGAATACACTTTACCTTATAAGAAATCGACTCAATTGCAGTGCCTAAGTTCATTTCTTATTTTTCAAATACTGAAGTATTTTTGTACTTGGTCCCTACAGACTTCCCTATGACTAGGAGACGTAATCGCGTAACTTTAGGCAGATTTTTGGGCTTGACTAAAGTACTTATAATTCACTACTTATATCGATCGATAGTGTTCCTACAGAATTACACCTATATACAGTAACGCGTTCATATCCTAGGGAGTACCGGTCTACCATGCCGTATTCCCACCGCATGCAGAACAAATACAACACAAGAATATTAGATAGAAAATTTTATTTTACTGCAACGCAAACAAGTTTATTTACATGTATTATCTGAGCACAGTCAAAGATGAAAGTCTTCGTTTGGAAAGTATCTCCCATTATTCGACGGAAACTGTCCAGTGTCCGAAGTGCGTCACCTTTGAATTCTTCCAAAATTCAAGTAAACAGAACTCTATGCCCACATGCAAATCTATCCGGTATCACAAACTGTAAAAAAGAATATCTGCATGGTTATACATGAATGAGTGAACTTACCTCCACTTGTTGTATGCAGAATCAATTTCTAAAACTGATTATGCAAATGTATCCGATTATAAGTCGTAAAACGCTCATCACTGTTTTTCGGATGCCTTTGTCCGAATGCAGCTACATCTGCTTTCACTGAATTTAATTAACTGACAGACCTCATTGCGACCCATCATTCCTAAAAGTGATACAGACTAAATTCACTTACATAAATTAAGCATTTACATAATTAACATGCATGACCATAGTTGAGTTAAGTATAAGTTAAGTTTAGTCTTCCTAAGTTACACTCTTTTTGAAATGTGGAGCACGTTAATGGTGCAGAAAATATCATGAACATTACGCATACATAATATTATTAACTGCCAGTAATTGTGCCATCGAATCATACTACAAGAATACATTTGATAATACTTTGTTAGTGGTCTGAGGGACAAAAATACTAGAGCGAAACATACAAGCTAGATGAAAGTCTCACAAAGCTGTCCCACTAAAATACAATGTCTCACTCGTGGATTTCCTATACGCATGTGAACGTATCCACATACTGGTATGCGGAAAAGTTCGTCACTGTTAGCAATATATGAAGTTCACGCCTTTTGAAAGTCTTCTAATGCTTTTGTAACTTCTTACATATGTGCTGCTTGCGCTCGCATTGATTACCTGCGATGAAATTCTAGAAAAAGGGCTCGTTAACGAAGCACATTATTGCAACAGCTTGTGACAGCTAAGTCGCAAGAAACACAGGATACCAGACTATGTGAGTGAGAAATCACGAAGTAGGAAATACTGTACCTATAACCACAACTCAAGAAATGCATTGGCACCCACGGGATGGTAGTCACTGATAGGAACCATAATGCCTGACCAGTTTCCAGGGAGTTTATAGCGAAAAGAGAAGTGTATCTGTGAAAAAAACAGTGAAACAATGTTAAAATAGTCAAATATTACATCTATCTTTGTCAAATTTGCTTGCAAACGGCGCATAACACAACCACACAAAACCTCACACGATACGACCTACCAAGGACAAATCAAATATCCAATTGACCGCCACCGTTCTAGCCAATGAAAGACGAAAAAACCTGAGTCGCGGAAAATATAACACGTCACAACGTATATCCTCACCCAAACATAGGTTTATGCATTTCATCCAACTTGTTTGCTGCATAGTTTCTCCTTCGTTTCTTTTACCAACTTCTGTCCATTTGAAGTACATAGCGCTGTGACATCGAAGGATACCATTATTTCTTGGTTATCTATTCGTTTTTTATTCGCTCTAGAAATTGAGTTGCAGATTTGAGGAATGATCGCAGAATTCTCATGTTTCAATTTTCTGCTTAGTTCTTTGGACAAGTTGTATGTCGGGGTTCCTGGGAGTGATACAATTGGTTGCAATACAATGTTTGCTTTGTATATTTTTTGGTTTGTTGTAGAATCAGCGTAGAACTGGTCCATTGGATCCTCTTTTGTGATCTGACCTATTTTGGTGGGCATGTTTAGGGTTTTTCGGATGCGGTTGTCTAATCTTTGGTTAGGATTTAATGTAAGCTGTTGGTATGCATCTTCATCTTTAAGTAGCTCTTCAGCCTCCTTGGTGCACTGTAGTCATGGAAAGGGGAACATACACGTCCAAGGTCTCCAGGAGAAATGACTAGTAAACTCGTAAATAAACCTAAACACTCACTTCAAATTGGAATATGCCCTGGAGATGTTGCCTAGTGAGGTAGTGATGAAAGCGCCGCAAGTAAACTATCCAACTCAGAGAACACAACTGTATCAAAATCATCCACGTGATCTACAAATCACCATTATATCTGAAGTTATATAAGTTTGCATTTACAATAACTTGCCAGTTTTCAGGCTGTTAGCAGTTGATGGAAAGCCGTGAAAGTGAACCCTTATCAACCCTGCAATTTAATGTTGGCTCTCTTATTGTTGAAAGTGTTCAGTGAAGCTGGTTGAATGAAAAATGAAAGTTCGACATGCTGCATTTTTCATAGTGTTTCTTTCGAATACGATTGACTAACAGAAATTATGAATATAAAATTACCTTCATTATTGCACGATGACGCATGTACAAAATCAGTGGTTTCGACAGCAACATCCAAGGAACACATATAACTGCGATAATCATCAGAAGACTTTGAACGGCTTGCTAAAATTAACAACAAAAGAATAACAGGAATCTTTAAGGTATAGAAAGATCTAAGTTCATGTATATTATATCAACGGAAAACACCTGAAATCTGTTCTCTATAGTATAATTTATTATAATCTGTTTACTGTCGAACACTAAACCTGTTGATATATCACTGACTACTTATACCTATAACAAAGTTTTTTTTGACATTTTGTGACCTTTTAACACAAACATATCTATAATTGTATATACTGTTGGATTTATATGTTCAAGTTGGTCCAAGTCAGTGAGTCTGTGGTTTTGATGTCATTTTAGTTAACTGTGCTTAACTGTATTGCATGTTGTTGTATTGTATTGTTGTTATCGCTTTTCGCCCGTTTTGCTATGAATTATTTTCCTTTTCCTGGTGTTGTTTTGATTGTTTTATCCGTTGTTTCCGATTTCAAGGGGAGCAACCTAAAATGTCGCTTCTCTCTAAACTTAATCTTAATGTAAAAATTCCTTTCTCAGACATGGGGCTAACAACCCCACCCTGTAAACCCCCCGAGGAAATCAGAAGTCCTGAATGCAATCAAGATGCTAAAAGCTGAAAAAAGCAGCAGGACCAGATGAAATCCCGGCAGAAGCATTGAAAATGGACCCAGAGACAACAGCGGACTTGATGGCGCCATTACTAGAGAAGGTGTGGGAAGAGGGCAAAGTATCCGAGGATTGGAAGAAAGGATACTTATTCTAACTACCAAAGAAAGAAGACTTAAGTCAATGCAAAAACTGGCGCGGAATTATGCTCTTGTCCATTCCAAGCAAAATACTAAGCCGCATCATCCTGGAGAGAATCAAACACGCCACCCTGGATGAAAAACTTCGACAGGAACAAGCTGGATTCAGGAGAAACAAATCGTGCATCGATCAAATCGCAGTACGGATCATCATTGGACAGAGCTTGGAATGGCAGTCACCTCCTTACTTCAACGTTATCGACTTCGAAAAGGCCTTCTATAGCGTCAATCGAGAGGTGATTTGGCGACTACTTCGCTACTACGGGATGTCACCGACAATTATACATCTCATCCAACAGTTGTACGACAATGCTGCATGCCAAGTAATTCACAACGGGGAACTTACGGAATCCTTCGAAGTGAAGACGGGAGTAAGACAAGGCTGCCTACTGTCGCCAATGATTTTCCTGATTGCAGTAGATTGGATAATGCGACAGACATCGGGCAATGAGGAAACAGGCATAAAATGAACCCACACAAAAAACTTGGAGGATCTGGACCTCGTCGATGATATATGTCTGATTTCACACAAACTGGAAGATATTCAAGTGAAAAGCAACAAGTTGACAGAAGAGGCAACAAAGATAGGACTTCAAGTGAACATAGATAAAATAGAGGTGATGAAGATTCCTGGCCAACACCAACAGCAACAACAACGACAGTCAGCATAAATGGGAGGAACCTGAAAGAAACAACCTCCTTTACACACCTACCTGGGAAGCATCGTTTCAACTACAGGCGGTTGGAACTGACGAGGATATCAAAGCCAAAATCGGAAAAGCAAGAAAAGCTTTTGTTACTCTCAAGTTTGTGTGGAGGTCAACATCACTCAGCATCAAAAATAAGATCCGGATTTTCAACTCCAATGAGAAGTCAGTGCTACTATACGGATCAGAGACTTGGCCAGCGCGTCATAAAGAGCATCTCAAACAAACTTCAGACCTTCATTAACAGTTGTCTTCGCTCAATACTCAAGATCAGATGGCCGGCCAGAAAAGATCAGCAACAGGGATCTCTGGCAATGAGCCAACCAACCAGGAACCGATTGTGAAACAAATAGGCAGGATGAAATGGAGATGGATTGGCCGTACACTGAGGAAACCAGCAGGTGACATCACTAAACAAGCCATCGCTCGAGTGGAACCCGAAAGGGAAGCGGCGAGTTGGTCGTCAGTGCAAGGATGACTTGGAGGAGGTCCTGTGAAGAGGAGATGAAAGCATGTGGGCAGACTTGGAGCGGGGTGAAAAAGTTGGCAGAAAACAGAAGGCAATGGAGGTGCGCAGCTGAAGCCCTATGTTCCTCGAGGAATTAAAGGATATAATACTAATAACAATAATAATAATAATAACTGTGGGAACCAATAGAAGCTTTCTGTATACGTGGGAAAAAATGATTCACTGTTAGTTCTCAAGAATCGTGAACACCTCACGATAATATTCAAAATTCTGGTTTCAACCAATGAGCTTCATACAGGAAACGTTAAAACGGTGGATATGACTGATTTGTAACGAGGAAAATGAGTCATCAGTGATTCCAGTATATACTATTAAGTAACGTACTTCCTAAAATGTCATCAAGTAATCAAGTGAAGAATTATGGACTAACCTGCCCTGCATACAAAGATGGGATATCTTCAGGATAACTGAAACGGATCATGTTGATTAATCCTACGTGGACAAAATAAATATCAAGAATTTATAATTCATATTAGCTTAAATTGAAGAAAAAACTAAAAACTAAAACACGCCACGAGCGATTTATAAGTAATCAAATAAATTGTCTGGGAGAATTGGTAAAATCAAGATTCAGACGCTTTATCCGGAAAATTTCAAACCAAAAAGTTAACGTATTACACAGCAAACACAACTGGTCAAAGTATTGGCGCAGATTCGGTACAGTTCAAAATAGTTAGTGTACTACATGTACTACATCTTGCAGCATAGGCGTAACAATCATTATTGGAGAAATACATTTAGATGTCTTCCAACCAATGAAGGCAGCTTACAGTGCTTTTTAAGTAGTAGACACTATGGCATGACACCATATGGTATACCCTGTAGTAAACAACCTTATTAGTAGTTATCTTTCGTCTTTAAACGCCACAATCTTATGATCCTGATGCCCCATTAGCACAATACAAAAGATTTTATATACACACTTCGTGATAAAAAAGGGTATAAGAACCTGTTTACATTTCTAATAATTGACGCAGTCCCTTTACGTATGGAAGTATTAGTTTTACTAACAACTAAAATTACAAAAACTAATTTGGCTCTGATAGCTGAATCTTAGTTTCCATGCTCTATCCTGGACAAAGATTGAAGTATGAAGCACTCACACTATCGCACAAACTGAGGTTGTATCACTCATATATGTGATTGCATTTCGACCGGTAGAGTCGAAAATGAAATACTGAATTTTTTCTTTATATTATACGACATGCTAAGTGACTGACACTGATGCAATTATAGACGAAATATTTAATCAAGCATTCTCATAGTGTGAATTTCAATCTTCTGGGTACCAACGGAAAATATACAAGATCACAATACCTCTATGAAATTTTTTATCATAAGCACACTTTATGAAAGTAAGCGGTGGTGACATTCTGAAGTTCTACAGGTTGCGCGGGAAAATAAGGTGGCTTGCTTAAATCATTGGGCTACCGAAATTACTTTCCTCCAAAATGCTTAATTTCATCTGGATTTATCATTGCTTTAATCGTCCAGTTATATCAAATGACCTACACATAAACTTGCGCGATGATATAACTTGCTCCCAAGTAAACACTGTACAATTCTTCAACGAGATGAAGATATACTTCAGATTATTAATTTACATGTGAATCCTGTGTGAAGAAAAAAAATACTTAGGAGCTGAATACACTGAAAACTTTTGTACCGTATATTCGCATACTATCTTAAATAAGGCTATACCATTATTATTATTATTATTGGAGAATTCTCTCTTCCAAAATAGCGTGAGAGGCAATTGTTGAGTCGTTTCTTTCCCTAATTTTCATAATAATAATAATGTATGTTTTCATATAAACGTATAAACGTCAGTCATCTGTCAAGCGAATAAGGCCGTTCAGTCCTTCTCAATGCTAAAGATTTTAAATGGTGGTAGCTTTTGTGAAGCTACGAAGGCTGCAGGATGATCCAGCCACTTTGATAAGAAAACGAGAAGTTCCAACTGCGGAGAGAACTCACCTACGAATCTTGATGCTCTCTAGTTTGCAAGCAAAGAGATTTGCTTAAATACGAATACTGTGCTCAGCCGTATGGAAAGCATGTCAGCAATCACTTCAGTATTTATTGCATTGTAACATTAGCATTCCTTGAGGGGATCACAGTCTTTTAGAAAACGTCTAAAAAAGCGTTTAAAATGTGTGATAAAGTAAAACTGCTGGTTGTAGAATGTGGAATGAAGCTGTTTCCAAGTTAGTCCAAGTGGTTGTAGAATGATATATCATCAGCCACTACGGGATCGGACGTCACTACTAAAAACCCTCCACTCGAAGTGAAACACAGTGGAAAGTCGGTTGTAGTAACCCATAGAAAAACCCGAGAAAATTTGCAGGAGATACAAATTCCGTTAAATGATGAAGTGTTCTTGGTCAAAGTGACTAGGAAATCAGTTAGCCATCACCAATTCTAGTTATCAAGCATTCCCCATTGACTAATTATTCTGGACCAGAATTTCCGATCTCTACTGACTTTTCGACTCCTGGTCATTCAGTTGCAATTACATACAGTGATTGGTCTCAAAGAAGACTAAATGCGCATCATATATTCCACTGCTAGTCAAAATTTAACGAGTCACATCACTAATTCGGGTTTGACAATTTCCGAGTTTGTCTGAGCTGCAAACGTTGATTAAGGAGCAGTCTAGTGCACTGAATACTCTCTTCTCCTTTGTTATTGTTTTAATTCTTTTTCAGCACACCTTTTTATCAGAAATTTATTCTTTATTTTTGATTACAGCTTAATTCCACACTGTATTTTTGGTACAAGTATAGAATTTTCAGCCCAAATTTTGCAGGCCGACCACAGATATCAGGTATGCGTCGGCCGGGGGTCGAACCTCGGACCATCCTCTCGGTCACATCCTATCTCATTTTTGTATCTATATCCCCTTCGTGTTTTCATCACCTAATTAGTTACTCACCATTTCGGTTTGTGTACTTATGTCCTGGAGGTCTATTTGGTGAAGTGAAAAGCCCCATTTCCAGCATCGACCCTATCTATGGAAATGTCTTGACCAAATAATACATTTCTATTACTACATCCCACAGTAACAGTGGGCCTATGGCAGGTATGCTGTGCTGGAATTCTCAAGAAGTCCGAAACATCTCTATGGCATGTAGAAGCAACAGGTGAAAATACGTTTAAACTAGTTTGTATTCGACCTTAAATTGAACATTGGCTTCCAAGGTCATAGGGCCGGAGCCATTTCACACTCCCACTTTCTGTTTACGAAGTTTCATTTAACCTGACGGGATGGGGTCGTTGTTCCGGAGCGAGGAGATGCAATTGTCCCAAATGTTTTTGCACACAGATATAGCTTACATGTGCATCTCAGAATTAGGAGAATTAGGGTTGGTACAATTTCGCGATGTAAGTATTCTGTGACAGTGTGATAGTTCTGTGATAGACTATTCCAGGTACTAACGCTTTCCAAAGGAAATTTGTGAATGAGGTTCGCAGATGTGATGAGATGGAAAGGAAATTACGTATGTAGTCTTGTCCGCTTTACATGTGTCGTAGGCTTTCTAGAGAAAGAGATTGAAAAAGACAAGTTTCCTATATTGGATACTGGGGAAAATCCTGAAGCACCAGCCCCACGTGAAATCATTGACCTCGAAAGTATCTTCGAGAAGCTGGAAAACGAGCTGAAAGAGGTCAACTCGAGTGCTGAAAAGCTGAAGAAGACATACTTAGAACTATCAGAACTGAAACAAATTTTAAGAAAGACACAGACATTTTTTGACGAAGTACGTTTTAATCCTTAGTTTTTTTATAATACGAGCAACTTTTACTGCTGTAATATAGTATATGAATGGTTCTTTATATAGCCACCAGCTGGATAACTGCCGACTCCTGACGGATTATTTTATTGACCTAGAACGTGGTAGTGTTCTGAAGATTTTTACCCGAAATTTCAAGAGGTCTTGAGGTTCGTAGCTGAGGCACTGTAAAACTATGGTCAACATGCATCTGTAATTAGTTCTCAACCTAGTTGACTTTCACGGTGCGGTAAGCCATGCGTATGTTTTGGGACAAAACAAAGCGCATGTGGGATGCAAGTGCTATTTGTGGACTTAATATTCATCTGTTGTTTGTTGTATGCGTGCTCACTTTCAGGTGGTTAGTGTTGGCTGAATTCTCCAGTTAGATTACTTATTAATTTAGTAGGTGATAATCGTTTAGCATCAGTAGTTAACTCTATGTATGCTTCAACCATGTGGGGATTTGAGCTGTGTACTGAGTCTTATGTTATTCCGAGTTTAAGTAAACATAAGGTAGTTTGTTTTATCAGTGGGCGCTTTCATTGTCGTTAAGTATGTGTGAAGCAATGGTATTTACGATGATGTTTTATATGATATTCAGGTTTTAGAAACAATGGATTTTCGTAAATAGTTTGTCCATACTAAAACTAATTCAATTATACATCAGGACAAGAAGGGAAATGAAAGACGAGTAGATAAGACAAAACTTAGTTTTCCATTCTCATCTTTTGTGTAGGAGCACATGGTATTTAGATCTTACATCAGACTTGATATGAGTCGTCATCCATTCTGAGTGTGAGGTTGCTTCGCATGCCTTAATAGTCGTGTTTACGGTCGTCTAATTACTAGAATTACGATCACTGGGACCCATCGTAACAGTGCTGTCTCAAACAAAGTCGTAGTCCACAATGTCATCTGGTTTGAGGATTGTGATTACATATCCTGAATGGAATTTTTCAAACTTCCTTAAGAGTTAGGCACGCGTTTTCAGGAGATCTGGCTAGTCTCCAATGCAGCCCAGATGTATAAAACTTACGCTTATTTATTAGGAACCACGCCAAATAGGGCCATGCTGTTCAAAGATTACATGGGAAAATACTAAAAACTAGCATTACAGCACTTGAGTGGTGTTGGTGAGAGTATATTCATTGTGATGTAACTCAACGCTGCCTGACTTCCCAACAGTGTGAACCATCTAACAATTCTAAGAGTAAAATAACAAGATTCTTTTAGGTTTTACTGCGCTATTAAAGGACTTTTTCTCACGATTCACATATAGCACTGCAGGCAGAAATTTTTCCTGTCGGTGTAGATCTGTATTTGTGCTTTAAGTTATCCTACCTTCGGTACGTTTGTATTCCCTTATCACACTCTCTGGGCTTGCAATTAAATTATTTTCCTGAAGATGCCCTTCGGCCAATATTTAGTCACATAACTATTGCCATCATTCAGTAATACAGCATGGCATTTGTCTTACTGCCTTAATCGCTAATGATCACTAAAGATTCAGTCTAAGAGGGAACCGCTCTATGAACAGCAACAGGTTGTCCGTTCCTGTTTTCCTTATATTGTATCTGGTTATATTTTATTGCATGAGTCGTTGTCTGGTCCTTTTGTCGGTTCATCCGACTTCGGTGTTGTATTGGTGTGAATAAATTAGTGCCAAGCTTTACCGACTGAACGTCTGACCATACCTTCCAATGATTTGCCTCTTCGCCAAATAACTCGCAAACAGGCGATGCACGATCCCACAATGTCAGAGGAAAATATTGGTCTCCTTGGTGGTGAAGGAATGAGTGCGGGCGGTGCTGCTGGTGGATTACGATTGGGGTAAGTCTTAGTGTTTCTCTTGGTTACCTTTCTGTTGAACTTACTTGTTCGTTTATGGTTTCTAGGGTAACGTAGGATCCTTTGACTTGAACATGGGGAGTGATTCAAATCCTGGTTACCAAGAAGAGGGCGATAGATATCCTACTGGTAAATCCAAACGTCATGTAGAGTGAGTATATAGAAACCCTGGGAGTCTTTTACTAATTTGGGAAGCTGATCAGTGCGTCGAGGTCTTCGTTTTGGTTTTTCTGGCTTGATCCGCGCTATCAATGTCTGCTCTACTTCATCTGTCAAAACACTTTCCTAATGACTATGGAATATTCGTTAATCTGTTAAAGAGTAAAAGACGTGTATTTTAATGCCTGTGTGCGAAAAGTACATGCTTTAGGCACTTTTTACCTGTCAAATGATTCGTTTTACCAAAAGGTTGATGTGACTGTCAGGTTATTAGTATTAATATAGGAAACAAAAATAATTTGTTTGCTATTGTTTTCAACAGACTTGTCCATACTATGACCTAGAATATTATTAAGATTTCATTTACTTAGGAATTTTAGCTGCTGTTATTTTCACCAATAGTTTTGAAATCTACCACAAGGTTGGATAAGCATTTTTAGCAATAACCAAATAAACAAATGACCCAGTGTATTCCTATTTTAGGTATTTAGTCAGTCCAAGTTCGAACAGTTTGGAAAAGCGGGCTGGAAAATTAGAGGTTGGTTGATACTACAATGGAAAAACTAATGATGGGATAAGCAATAATAAAAATCTGTATTAAGTGTACTTATACAAGGAGTTCCCCACCAATGGTCTTTAATTGTTGAAAACATCGAGCCTGACGATCCATACCTCTAGGTAGTTCATACAGTCAAATGTATTTCTGTCTGATCAACCTCAACATCTTCCCATTTACTTCTACTCTAAAATCGCAGCTTTGGGAAGACATGGCCCGTCATGACTTTCATAATGGTTCAGAGCCGAATAACTCGCTTCCTCTAACACCGTATAATTCGAGCAGAGCATACATGTTTGACCTGACTTGAGTAGTTAAACGGAGTCACAGTTAAAGCGAGTAATCTAATCACACTTGCACCTAGCGACAACTTTTCAATGGTGTAGGATACAATTATTTAGACTACTTCCAAGATAATATAATCAGATTTCGCGTAGTCAAGAAACGTCAATCGAGACTTTTGTATGCGCCTCGCTATCATCAGCGTGCAGTTGAATTAAACTGACTCAAATTTCCGAATAAGTAAAGTTCTCTCTATCTCTTCATTGTGCTAGTAATTGATGCAGATCAGTCCTGTGGTGTGATACTGCTTTTACATCGGTGAAGTGTACAGAGAGCACAAATAAATTCAGAGACAAAATGTTCAAAAGACTATTTTGTTGTGAAACAATTAAGTTTTTTATTAGCAGATCAATTTCTGATGCTTCAGAAGGACTGATGTACTCAGTTAACAATCTACTATTCATGTGCTCTTGGCCTTTGCAGACCATTACAGTGTTTGTAATTTTGTTGTTGATTTCTCTCCCTGTTATCATGTTATATTGTTAGTTTGTGTCCGGTTACTTGTGAAGTCATATATTCAAATATAGATCCTACTTATTCGCTAGTAATGAAGTGCTATTTCTTGTGTTAATGTCTGGCTATTAAGTAGTTTAATCTGCAATTACTGGATTTATATTTTATAATGCATGAATATATATTTAAATGTGACACGCCTCTACTGTCAGAATTTTATGCACATAAATACACAACATTTGTGTGATTAACGTTCTTTTTTTACAAACACTATCGTGTCTGATATAATTCCACCATATATTCTGCTATCAGAGCTTTTACTTTTACTGATTTGTGGGATAAATTATAAGTAGCAGAAAATGTCATGGGATAATTACACGTACATAATATCATTAATTGCTTCTGATTGTGACGTCTAATCTTACTACAAAATTAAAATAAGCAGTAATCTGTTATCTGGCTAAGCAAATATTAAAATGAATGTTAATCACTAGATAGACATTCGGTGAATGAATTACGCGTTAACGGGTTTTATTAAAGCTACATGCGTCTTATATTTTATGTGTTGTTTAGTAGTGTAGCACTTCGACCTAAAGTTCGTTTACGCTGTATACTTCTTTTGCTTGATTTCTGATGTATTAATCTAGAAAATACAGATGGTATAATCTAAATTATTGGGACATATTACGAGAGATATCTAGAATGTGTACTGATAAGAATCATGGTGGTTATCCGCAACCCAGGTTGTTAATATTTAGTGTGCTGCATTTTGTAGAGCGAAGTTCCGCTTGTCAAATATCTCAATATTATCAGAAATTGGTTCGCCAGCAGGTGAAGCAACCTTACTACAAATAGCCATGATTTTGTAGAGATTAGCTAATTTAGCTCTATCAGTAGGGTGCACTGGTTTTGTATTGTGGCTCGACTGTTCATCTCCACTCGGGAATAGAAGTGAAAAATAGATCGTTAAGTTGGAAAAAAATAACTCGTTGAGGTGCAACCTATATAGCTTTTTGAAAGCCTATAGTATTAATATCTGATTTACTTTCTGAAATTGATTTTAAGTTACATCACTTTGGCTAGATTTCTCAAGAGTAGGTGTTCAAACTTGTAAAGTTCGGATTCGCAAACTATTTGTAAAGTAAGATGCACTAACCGTGAGCCTATTACTTTTTTTTAATTAAAAATGAGAATATACACTGCTCTGTTCTGAATACGCATGAATTATAATGGATAGCTGTTACACATACTGCCGCTGAAATGTGTAGTTAATTATTGCCTTTTTGTTAGATTCCTTGCTGGGATTATACTACGTGAACGGTTGCCAGCATTCGAGCGTATGCTGTGGCGTGTGTGTCGAGGAAATGTGTTTCTTAAGCAGGCGGAAGTCGATGATCCCTTAGAAGACCTTACTACGGTAAGTGGGCTTGTATGTTATTGTGTTAAATTATAAATGCATTGTCATTATTCTTTATCAAATGAAAGTACCCTATTCCTGTTATTTTAAGTACTCCTTACTTGTGTGTTCATTCGAATTGGTACACTTCTGAATAAAGCACTGATATATCAGGCAGTCAGATACATCTAGGGGATCATAGGTTCTCGTCTGTCTGCTATATCGATCTCTACTTCTTTGTGTTGCAGGTGTCACGTTTTATGTTAACTACTGATATCCGTAATATATTTCAGTTTTATGAATTCTATGGTTTATACTATACTGACTGGAAACTTCATAGAAATACAGGAGAGTATGACTTCCCAGTGTACATATATCTCCGACATTTGAGCGGAAATTTAATGTATAGTGGCATGCGAATTTGAGTCTGCCGACAAGATTACAGATTTTCATTCACTGAGATTGACTGAAAGTACAATTTAAGGTGACAAATTTTAGTCAAACCAACAGCTTTCTGTGAATCTTGCATGAAGTCTTAAATTCCCCCCTCTTACCGTCCACAAGAAAGAAATATTTATGTTATTCAGTTGTTCGCAGTGGTACAGTTTCATTTGCGTCACATCTTTGTTTTTATCTTCTCTCCCAGTTTTGTATTATCTGTTCAGTTTTGGTTGTCCTAAGTAAAGAGATCCAGGAAATGACCCTAAGTCGCTACGTTATATGGTTTGAGACTTATATTTTTGGATGTTTATTTTCCACTGACTTTAATGTGATCGATCTTCATTTCCACAATGTTTTGGAAAGTACTTTCACCTTAGCTTTTACATAAGTTGAACTGTTACGATGAAAATTGTTTCTTTTTCTTTTAGGGTGCTTCAGTCCACAAATCTGTGTTCTTGGTATTCTTCCAGGGTGACCAGCTACGTTCCCGCGTTAAAAAGATATGTGATGGGTAAGTGTCGTGTTTGATTTTCGAATGCTTATTTTCCAGTGTGGCATTTGGGATCTGATTGTCCCTCTTTAACAAATTTCATGCTTTCTTGAAGCTTATGAGGTTAGATAGGTAATTTTTTAGAATTTAACTGACAAAATGATCTTTTGTTAGATATACTCATGGAGAGCAGCTTATTAATTTGAGTTTTTATGGAACAATACAATTTTCGGTACATATGCAGACGTTTTTTCAACTGGTGTCGGGTACTAGTGAGATTGCACCCAAAATTACGATATTCAATGAACCTTGAGTATTATTGTATCATATTCGTTACATGAGTCATAGCCACATGTGAAACGTATTCACACGTTCGACTCATTCTTCAATCCTTCTGAGATGGTTGTGGCCTGTTTGTTAGTGTGTGGTGCTTCGATGCATGTTCGAATGTTAGATATCAGATAATATATAATATCACCGAGTCAGCGCAGATGTACTGTTTCCTAGTCCTACTATACAGTGGATGATTATCAACGGTTGCCTGTTCTTATTAACCATTGTCGGTGTCAGGTAAAACATCTAAATTCTACTTCATTTATACAGTAAACGGTAGGTAAAAGCAAGGTAGTCGATCAGTCTGCGAAACAGCCACTATCAGTCAGCGTCTTTCAGTAACTTTCAGCGAGTAACGAAAGATGAATTTTGAGAATGGATTTTTTTTGTATAAGTGTGAAAATACAGTGGTGGATGGATCAGATAAATTTTATTCAAAAAATAATAGATAAGGGTTGTTGCATAATACGCACACATACTTAGAAGGTTTACGTATAAACATACTATCTATCTGTTACGTATTATTCACTTTTCTCCTTAGGTTCCATGCGACGCTATATCCGTGTCCTGATTCACAGGCTGATCGGCGCAATATGGCCATTGAAGTGATGGGGCAAATCCAAGATTTGGAAACAGTACTCACGCAAACCAAACAGCATCGTCAGCGTATTTTGGAGACGGCTGCTAAGAACTTACGAATTTGGTTTATAAGAGTCAGGAAAATCAAAGCTATATATCACACTTTAAATTTATTTAATCTCGATGTGACAACAAAATGCATGGTTGGGGAGTGTTGGTGTGCAGTAAATGATGTGGATAAGATCAATTTGGCATTGCGACGTGGAATGGAGCGTAGTAACAGTACCCTTCAACCGATTTTAAATGGAATTGTGACGTCGGAAAATCCTCCTACCTATCATCGAACCAATAAATTTACATTTGCATTTCAAAGTATCATAGATGCGTATGGTGTGGCACGTTATCGTGAAGTAAATCCTGCACTGTTCACAATCATTACGTTTCCATTCCTCTTTGCCGTTATGTTTGGAGATGCTGGTCATGGATTGCTCATGTTTCTTTTCGCTTTGTGGATGGTGGTTTGTGAGCGGAAATTAAATGTGAGTTAGTTTGTGATTTCTGTTGAAATTTTTATATTATTCTTAAAAGCTGGTCTATTTTTGTCTTTTATTTCTACGGAATTTTATGGCATGCATGTATTGTCTGTGTTGAATACATGCTTCAGATGTCTGTGTTGAAACTGAGTGCTCATATTAATAAGGAAGCATAGCTTTGTTTTCACCCGTATGTTGTTTTTCCCTACAGATCCTCGTATGCGTAACTATATTTTGAAACACCGTGACAGGATTTTTACATCTTCAATTGTTGAGGTGTAAAAATCACCTCTCCGTCGTCAGTTTTTCATGTTTTCCACACGTGCTTGTCTGTCTACCGCAATGGTTAACGTTTGCATCATCCTTTTTCAGAATTTGCGCTTTCCAATATAATTGCATGAATCACATCTTCACCCTTAAAAAAGTTCTGAAACACGAGAATGATAACCGGCATTCATAACCTGGACTGATGTGGGAATTTAACATCGTCACTGAGGCAATACTTTGTCGTAAAGATGAGTGTCGGAAAAGCGTATCATGCCAAACAGGTTATTCTACTCGTGTAGCTGTATAAGAGCTTATGGTGAGTTACCATCTAGAGTGATGGTAACCAGTGGTATTCGCTAATGACTCCCGTTTTAACTTTTTTCATAATGAAGGTACTGATGGATATGAACAGTCAAACTCGATTTACTATCGAGGAATTGTTTCATTCCTGTGAAGTGAACAAAAACGAGTGTTGGTTTGGCATTTGATTCATGTCCACCGAATATAAGGTAACACTTCAAAACAGATTGGCATTAACGTTTAGTATAAAGATGAAGAATAATGTGATTGACTGTTGACTTTGTCACTAATTAAAAAGTTTCATCAATCTCAATGGACGTTTTACCGTGACAGTCTCGATGGGAACTCAGAGAACTCGTCTGACATTTTCTAACTTGAGCGATGCACGATCTCCCACCAAAGAGTGTTTGTACGGCACAATATTCCGTTCTATCCTGCTTTACGGTGGTGAGGTATGGACGCTGAAAATAGATTACATAAAGAAATTAGAGGTTTTCGATCTTGTTTGCTTTCGTAAGATTATTTCTGTGAACTTGAGCTATAGGATTAGTGGTTAGGTATGACGGAAACTGACTTGTTTCAAAACAGCAACAAGAGTACAGTACATCATGATGATTGGTCAAAAGCTTTTGATTTGCATTTGGGAAATCATTCACAGTATGCTAAGCTGATTAAATATTGCAATATCTGCTTATTACCTGTTGCTAGGTAGAAAACAAAAAAGTGTTCAGATTCTTGGAGTTGGGGTGGGGATTTGATTCCCGAGATCTGGGAAGGACACAAGTAACAATAAATCTGATGACATCGGGTTACTTTTCTGTGTGCGATAATCCTACTGGTAATGTTTTTAGTTTTTTTTCTAAAAATTCTATCGTGTTAGATTTTTTAGAATTGCTTCCTATAGGTTACTTTTTTTTACTTAATATGTTAACGATTAGATATTCCTTTCTCTGTTTTAATATAGGCTAATAAATCTGGTGGTGAAATTTGGAACATTTTCTTCAATGGCCGTTATATAATACTGTTGATGGGCTTGTTTTCCATCTACACTGGATTAATATATAATGACATTTTCTCTCTGTCAGCTAATATTTTTGGATCATCGTGGTATCCCACGTATGATAGCCAGGCATTGTCACAGGATACGAGATTTCAGCTAGAACCCCGTACAAGTGTTAATGTATCAGATCGAATGTACGCTGGTTACCCATACCCATTTGGTTTGGATCCTATTTGGCAGTTAGCTGGCAATAAAATTATGTTAACTAATTCAATAAAAATGAAAATGTCTGTTGTTTTGGGAGTGCTACATATGTTGTTGGGTATATGTTTAGGTGCTTTCAACTACAGGTAATCTATTTTTATAGCAACACATTTGAGTTTTGTAATTAAAAAGTCTTATAGAATTCTCCTTTGATAAATATAGTCATTCACTTAAGTCGTAAATGAAGGCTGAGTGCATTGTGCTTCGTAAACTTTATCCTTTTGATATTGATGAATTTCACCCTTCATTTGATATTCGATTTCTGACGTCCACTGTTACTATTTGCATTAATTTAGTCGTACAAAATACCACCACTATAACCTACTGGAGGTTGTCTTTCCCTTACACTGTTATGAAGCAATGATCAGTGATCTGAATCTAAAGTCTTCCTGATGTCACACCAAGCCACAGAATAATATATAATATATATTCTCTTAGCACTTGGTAAGGGATTAGGCGTATTTTGGTCACTCTAGAGTTTATGCTATCACTTCTTCAACATTCATCTTTGAATTTTCTCAAGAAAATCCTACTTTATTGAAGGATTGCGGCCCTGTGGTTCATTGGATAAGACTGGCTTTTAACCATTGAGTCACTGATCCAAATCCCCCTTATCGTGCCATGTTTTCAGCAGCTGGTTAGCTTCCCTCGTACTTTACGTGTAGCTTATTACAGAATGCATAAATAGATGTTTATTAGTCTTTGTTGATAGGTTAGTGTGTACGTTGGACCTGTATAGCTCACGATTAAAAAGTGATCACTGGTACGTCATTGTGTTTTACAACCACTTGTCTAACTCTGTCGTATACTATGGTACTAAATAATTTTTATCCTGTATTTTATACACAGCGATCATTTCTGTAGAAAAATATCACGCCAAAAACTCTGATTAAACGGCATAGTGACAGTTAAAGTGAGAGAAAATTGTGGCTTTCAACGATCTTCGCAGTAGTGGTTCCAGACGTCTTAATTTAATACTGCGTGTAAATATTAGTTAAAGGATAAGGGTCTTACTTCAGAGTTTTGAAAAAACCACTTGTTCTCAAAAAGTTTGATGTTGAAATACTCTCTGTGGAAATGCGTAGATCACTAGCCTTATCATGCTATTCTTTAAAATTACTCGTGTTATGGTTGTTCTCTATCAGTTCATAGTGTAACATATCCTTGTTTTCCAGACATAACAAGGACACTTTGTCAATCTTTTGCTTGCTGCTTCCACAAGTCTTATTTCTGTCGTGCATCTTCCTTTATTTGGTGATACTAATATTCTTCAAATGGATCGCGTATACTGCAGAAACTGCATCTTCAGCACCAAGTCTTCTTATTGGTAAGCATCACTTCTACAATTGTTTATCTCTTGCTGGTAGTAATATATGGGTACCATAAAGGGTATCGTATTCCACGTAAAAAGCTTCTATTGTCCTTTTCTAAGATTAAGCTATACAAACCAGTCTAGTCGGAAATTTCTAAGGAAGCTGCAACTTGTGAAAAAGTATAAATAGAGCGCAAATTTCCTTTGACTTTCAAACATGTTTAGTTAGCTAACGTTGTGATGTTTGAGGTTTAAATTTTCGGTCTTTTATCTCAACCCTACGATTTTAAGTAATCTTCAGTCGATGAAAATACAAAACCTAATTAAGCATCGTGATTTCCATTCATTATTCTCCCGTAATTGTCGTTAGAACCCAGTTACCTGGGAATATCTATTTCATCAGGCTGTAAATCACACCTGCCTGTGGGTTGACTCTAGGATCCATTTGTCTAGATTGTTGTAGGTGGAATAGGATTCTAACCTTGAACCCATTGACTCAAAGTTGAGTGTCTATACGAAGGAATTACATCTCTACCTCACCACAATTATGCTGTTTTCAAAGTTATTTTGTGGTTAAGAGTAATCTTTGAAACAGTTTATCTTTTACGCATCCAGTTTACCGTTTACAGTGTAATAAAACGAAATCACAACTTGGGAAATCATAAGCAGCAGTCAGAGAATTTTGGGTGTGTGCTGTAACACTGATCTCTTCAAATGCAAAGCAGTTATGTTTCGGCAAGTTGCGAAGCCTTCTCATTTATTTTCTCTGTTGCGGACACCCCTCAATATGCGATTTTTATCGCACCATTTCACTGTGTGATAATGGCATCTTGCTTGACCTTTGGACTGCCGAAGTACCATCTCCCACCAATCACGTTGCATTGAATTAATTTTTTGGTTTTTTCAGTTAAATGATAATGTCCTGAAGTCACGATATTTACACATATTTTTAAGATCTTTCGAATGTATTGCTTTGTGTTTTCTCATAAAACGATGAAGAAATATTGTGAGTGGTAACAAGCAATAAAGCATTAAGCATATGACTTTCGATTATTATTAATCCATTGAGTTCCGAGTGGAACACAAGGCTTCATCAGCACACTTCCATTTCACTCTGTTCTCTGCGATCTTTTTTAACTGGCCTCGCGATTGCCCGTAGACTTCCATCTCCATGTGACTCTAGGACGCCAAATTCATCGTTTTCCATTTGGGTTCCACTGAGGGGCCTGTTACACGACCTCTCTTGATGGTTTCATCAGCACATTTTCGATCCATCTTCATTTCCTTTGGTATATTTGTTGAATAAAAGGTTCGCTCAATAATAGACCCCCTTGTTCCTAATCTCTGGCCAGCCATCTGATCTTCAGTGTGTGTTAGAGACAGCTGTTGATGAAGTCTGTAACCCGTTGAGAATCCTTTTCCTGATGCTTATGTAAAGTCAAAGCACAGGTTCGACATGTGTCGAAGATCCGGATCTTGTTCCTTATAGTGGGTGCAGATTTCCGCATTGATTTTAGGGCCGGTGGCACAGTGGTTAGGACTCTCGCCGACCATGCACATGGTCCGAGGTTCGATCCCCTGCCGACGCACACCTGATATCTATGGTCGGCCTGCAAAATTTGGGCTACCGATATCCATGCTGAAAACTCCATACTTGTACCGAAAATACAGTGTGGAATCAAGCTGTAATCCAAAAAAATAATGGAGAACTATTGCTTTTCCATTTCTGCTTTTGACATCTGTTCCGCCTGTTTCTAGTGCTTTGAATGTGAGATTTTAACATCAGACTATTGAGACAACAATATACTAACTGTTGCGCTTTAATGTGTATGTGTAATACAAAATTTAGTTTCTGGGTTTCCTCATCATCTGCTGAAGTCTAATCTCAAATTGCGCTACACTCCAATGTGATATTACTCAGTCAATTTCAGTCTATTTTGAAATTTTAATAAGGTTCGGTTGTCAATGATGTAGTTTCATTAGTATTTGTGCTCACTTGTGCAGTGAAATATAAAAATTCAGTCGTATCCTGTATAGCACAGTTTTATGTGAGGAAAGAAATGTCAGGAAAGAACTAGAGAACATACACTGTCTGCAGATACATATCTGGTTATTTCTGGCAGTCACTTATGCTTTATTATCGCCTACATTTACATTTCTATTACTGCAGCTTCTGTGGCGTTCTATTTTAGTTTTGTTTGTGTGGGAAGTGAGATTGTAGCAAAATGAAAGTCCTGAAACTTCCATTCTGCACAAATTTATTCTTTGGAACTAAGTGATTATCACAATAATAGTTATCATTATTATTATTATTATTAAAAGATTAAGGGTAGATGTGGTGGCAGAATAATAATAATAATAATGGTATAGCCTTATTTAAGATAGTATGCGAATATACGGTACAAAAGTTTTCAGTGTATTCAGCTCCTAAGTATTTTTTTTCTTCACACAGGATTCACATGTAAATTAATAATCTGAAGTATATCTTCATCTCGTTGAAGAATTGTACAGTGTTTACTTGGGAGCAAGTTATATCATTGCGCAAGTTTATGTGTAGGTCATTTGATATAACTGGACGATTAAAGCAATGATAAATCCAGATGAAATTAAGCATTTTGGAGGAAAGTAATTTCGGTAGCCCAATGATTTAAGCAAGCCACCTTATTTTCCCGCGCAACCTGTAGAACTTCAGAATGTCACCACCGCTTACTTTCATAAAGTGTGCTTATGATAAAAAATTTCATAGAGGTATTGTGATCTTGTATATTTTCCGTTGGTACCCAGAAGATTGAAATTCACACTATGAGAATGCTTGATTAAATATTTCGTCTATAATTGCATCAGTGTCAGTCACTTAGCATGTCGTATAATATAAAGAAAAAATTCAGTATTTCATTTTCGACTCTACCGGTCGAAATGCAATCACATATATGAGTGATACAACCTCAGTTTGTGCGATAGTGTGAGTGCTTCATACTTCAATCTTTGTCCAGGATAGAGCATGGAAACTAAGATTCAGCTATCAGAGCCAAATTAGTTTTTGTAATTTTAGTTGTTAGTAAAACTAATACTTCCATACGTAAAGGGACTGCGTCAATTATTAGAAATGTAAACAGGTTCTTATACCCTTTTTTATCACGAAGTGTGTATATAAAATCTTTTGTATTGTGCTAATGGGGCATCAGGATCATAAGATTGTGGCGTTTAAAGACGAAAGATAACTACTAATAAGGTTGTTTACTACAGGGTATACCATATGGTGTCATGCCATAGTGTCTACTACTTAAAAAGCACTGTAAGCTGCCTTCATTGGTTGGAAGACATCTAAATGTATTTCTCCAATAATGATTGTTACGCCTATGCTGCAAGATGTAGTACATGTAGTACACTAACTATTTTGAACTGTACCGAATCTGCGCCAATACTTTGACCAGTTGTGTTTGCTGTGTAATACGTTAACTTTTTGGTTTGAAATTTTCCGGATAAAGCGTCTGAATCTTGATTTTACCAATTCTCCCAGACAATTTATTTGATTACTTATAAATCGCTCGTGGCGTGTTTTAGTTTTTAGTTTTTTCTTCAATTTAAGCTAATATGAATTATAAATTCTTGATATTTATTTTGTCCACGTAGGATTAATCAACATGATCCGTTTCAGTTATCCTGAAGATATCCCATCTTTGTATGCAGGGCAGGTTAGTCCATAATTCTTCACTTGATTACTTGATGACATTTTAGGAAGTACGTTACTTAATAGTATATACTGGAATCACTGATGACTCATTTTCCTCGTTACAAATCAGTCATATCCACCGTTTTAACGTTTCCTGTATGAAGCTCATTGGTTGAAACCAGAATTTTGAATATTATCGTGAGGTGTTCACGATTCTTGAGAACTAACAGTGAATCATTTTTTCCCACGTATACAGAAAGCTTCTATTGGTTCCCACAGTTATTATTATTATTATTGTTATTAGTATTATATCCTTTAATTCCTCGAGGAACATAGGGCTTCAGCTGCGCACCTCCATTGCCTTCTGTTTTCTGCCAACTTTTTCACCCCGCTCCAAGTCTGCCCACATGCTTTCATCTCCTCTTCACAGGACCTCCTCCAAGTCATCCTTGCACTGACGACCAACTCGCCGCTTCCCTTTCGGGTTCCACTCGAGCGATGGCTTGTTTAGTGATGTCACCTGCTGGTTTCCTCAGTGTACGGCCAATCCATCTCCATTTCATCCTGCCTATTTGTTTCACAATCGGTTCCTGGTTGGTTGGCTCATTGCCAGAGATCCCTGTTGCTGATCTTTTCTGGCCGGCCATCTGATCTTGAGTATTGAGCGAAGACAACTGTTAATGAAGGTCTGAAGTTTGTTTGAGATGCTCTTTATGACGCGCTGGCCAAGTCTCTGATCCGTATAGTAGCACTGACTTCTCATTGGAGTTGAAAATCCGGATCTTATTTTTGATGCTGAGTGATGTTGACCTCCACACAAACTTGAGAGTAACAAAAGCTTTTCTTGCTTTTCCGATTTTGGCTTTGATATCCTCGTCAGTTCCAACCGCCTGTAGTTGAAACGATGCTTCCCAGGTAGGTGTGTAAAGGAGGTTGTTTCTTTCAGGTTCCTCCCATTTATGCTGACTGTCGTTGTTGTTGCTGTTGGTGTTGGCCAGGAATCTTCATCACCTCTATTTTATCTATGTTCACTTGAAGTCCTATCTTTGTTGCCTCTTCTGTCAACTTGTTGCTTTTCACTTGAATATCTTCCAGTTTGTGTGAAATCAGACATATATCATCGACGAGGTCCAGATCCTCCAAGTTTTTTGTGTGGGTTCATTTTATGCCTGTTTCCTCATTGCCCGATGTCTGTCGCATTATCCAATCTACTGCAATCAGGAAAATCATTGGCGACAGTAGGCAGCCTTGTCTTACTCCCGTCTTCACTTCGAAGGATTCCGTAAGTTCCCCGTTGTGAATTACTTGGCATGCAGCATTGTCGTACAACTGTTGGATGAGATGTATAATTGTCGGTGACATCCCGTAGTAGCGAAGTAGTCGCCAAATCACCTCTCGATTGACGCTATAGAAGGCCTTTTCGAAGTCGATAACGTTGAAGTAAGGAGGTGACTGCCATTCCAAGCTCTGTCCAATGATGATCCGTACTGCGATTTGATCGATGCACGATTTGTTTCTCCTGAATCCAGCTTGTTCCTGTCGAAGTTTTTCATCCAGGGTGGCGTGTTTGATTCTCTCCAGGATGATGCGGCTTAGTATTTTGCTTGGAATGGACAAGAGCATAATTCCGCGCCAGTTTTTGCATTGACTTAAGTCTTCTTTCTTTGGTAGTTAGAATAAGTATCCTTTCTTCCAATCCTCGGATACTTTGCCCTCTTCCCACACCTTCTCTAGTAATGGCGCCATCAAGTCCGCTGTTGTCTCTGGGTCCATTTTCAATGCTTCTGCCGGGATTTCATCTGGTCCTGCTGCTTTTTTCAGCTTTTAGCATCTTGATTGCATTCAGGACTTCTGATTTCCTCGGGGGGTTTACAGGGTGGGGTTGTTAGCCCCATGTCTGAGAAAGGAATTTTTACATTAAGATTAAGTTTAGAGAGAAGCGACATTTTAGGTTGCTCCCCTTGAAATCGGAAACAACGGATAAAACAATCAAAACAACACCAGGAAAAGGAAAATAATTCATAGCAAAACGGGCGAAAAGCGATAACAACAATACAATACAACAACATGCAATACAGTTAAGCACAGTTAACTAAAATGACATCAAAACCACAGACTCACTGACTTGGACCAACTTGAACATATAAATCCAACAGTATATACAATTATAGATATGTTTGTGTTAAAAGGTCACAAAATGTCAAAAAAAACTTTGTTATAGGTATAAGTAGTCAGTGATATATCAACAGGTTTAGTGTTCGACAGTAAACAGATTATAATAAATTATACTATAGAGAACAGATTTCAGGTGTTTTCCGTTGATATAATATACATGAACTTAGATCTTTCTATACCTTAAAGATTCCTGTTATTCTTTTGTTGTTAATTTTAGCAAGCCGTTCAAAGTCTTCTGATGATTATCGCAGTTATATGTGTTCCTTGGATGTTGCTGTCGAAACCACTGATTTTGTACATGCGTCATCGTGCAATAATGAAGGTAATTTTATATTCATAATTTCTGTTAGTCAATCGTATTCGAAAGAAACACTATGAAAAATGCAGCATGTCGAACTTTCATTTTTCATTCAACCAGCTTCACTGAACACTTTCAACAATAAGAGAGCCAACATTAAATTGCAGGGTTGATAAGGGTTCACTTTCACGGCTTTCCATCAACTGCTAACAGCCTGAAAACTGGCAAGTTATTGTAAATGCAAACTTATATAACTTCAGATATAATGGTGATTTGTAGATCACGTGGATGATTTTGATACAGTTGTGTTCTCTGAGTTGGATAGTTTACTTGCGGCGCTTTCATCACTACCTCACTAGGCAACATCTCCAGGGCATATTCCAATTTGAAGTGAGTGTTTAGGTTTATTTACGAGTTTACTAGTCATTTCTCCTGGAGACCTTGGACGTGTATGTTCCCCTTTCCATGACTACAGTGCACCAAGGAGGCTGAAGAGCTACTTAAAGATGAAGATGCATACCAACAGCTTACATTAAATCCTAACCAAAGATTAGACAACCGCATCCGAAAAACCCTAAACATGCCCACCAAAATAGGTCAGATCACAAAAGAGGATCCAATGGACCAGTTCTACGCTGATTCTACAACAAACCAAAAAATATACAAAGCAAACATTGTATTGCAACCAATTGTATCACTCCCAGGAACCCCGACATACAACTTGTCCAAAGAACTAAGCAGAAAATTGAAACATGAGAATTCTGCGATCATTCCTCAAATCTGCAACCCAATTTCTAGAGCGAATAAAAAACGAATGGATAACCAAGAAATAATGGTATCCTTCGATGTCACAGCGCTATGTACTTCAAATGGATAGAAGTTGGTAAAAGAAACGAAGGAGAAACTATGCAGCAAACAAGTTGGATGAAATGCATAAACCTATGTTTAACAACGTATTTTCAATCCAACCGCCAAATATGTGAACAAATTAAAGGGATACCTATTGGGTCGTCCATTTCAGGTCTGATCACAGAAGCTGTGATGCAAAGATTTGAAAACATAATCCTGCTTGATATCAAACCCGAAATTTGAATACTTAACGTGGATGACACATTCGTAATAAGCAAAAGAAACGACTTAAATAAAACATCTAATAATTAACATCTTCAACGACATCAAATTCCCAAGAGAGGAGAAATCCGAAGACAAAGTTCCATTTTCGGGCGACAAGCGAACAACCACAGGAAAATCAGAAACTCACGTTTACAGAAAATCAACCCACGCAGATCAAATACTCAGTTGCAACAGCAACAACCCAATAACGCATAAAAGTTGCATGCAAACATTATTCAAGAGAACCAGGACTCATTATAGCACTCCTACACTAAGGAAAATTTAGCAAAAATATCTTATGGACGTCTTCCGAAAGAAAGGATATCCACAAAGCTTCATTAAAAGACATCTACCCCCAAGCCAACGAATCAAATCAATGGTGCCCAAGGGAAACATGAGGAAAATCATCTTATCATATATAAAGGACGTCTCAGGAATCACTGCAAGATTCCTCAAACCTTTAGGAATTGATGTAGCACACATCCCAACACAATCACTACACGGATCTGTGTCAAACAAAAGACTCAACAGAGAGAGAGAGAGAAGATAAAACCAACATCAGCTAGGAAATAAGTAGACTTCCCCTTCGTCTTCTCATTTGTTTTCTTCTGGCAGTATGTACTGTGGTGATCTCAGTGTAGTTAGCTCAATACTATATGAGACTGAGGGTGAATCATGTATTCCATTCACTTTTATGAGGTCGATGACCGTAGTAAACTACAAAAAATTATATTTGATTGAATTTTGCCTCACTGATTCTCGGACTCAATCCGTAGCAAACTATAAGTGACAACTGCTACTTCGTAGTGTACACAATTTATTATTTTTTCAAGTCTCAGGAAAACAAGTTTGACTGTGTTACTGCTTAATTTCAGTTGATCAGTGTTGCTCAAGAAGAAAAGTAAATTGCAACCAGCATCCAGGTTGCGTATCTTAATCATGAATTTTTAAAATTTCATTCGCATTTTATTTTGTACTTTGTGAAATATTTAATTTGATTATGTGAGTGTAGAATAGACATTATGTGGAACCCGATTCAAGTGTACGTGTAATGGTTGGTGGTGTGGCAAATCCAACTTTGGATGAAACTTTTGGCGGTGATAATGGAATTATGTACAGTGATATGTCTCCATTACATAGGTCTTCTGAAAACCAGTCTAAGATTTCATTGGTTAGTCAGACAACAGATTCTCCAGGTACTCATAATGTTGATAAGGTGAGAAATTAAGTATTTTGTTATTATTTTTTCTTAAACTTTTATTTTATTTTTTTGTTACCCGTTACCCGTGCGTGAACAACTTGCTTTTGCGAAAATTGCTTGAAACAAATCCTTTCTTGAGGCTCGTGGTCCTGTCGACCATCCGGAGGTATCAACTAAATCCTCGGAGAAAATTACGTTAGATGGAGATGTTAATGGTGTAGGTTCTGCGGATATACCTGTAGAGGATGTAAGTACTGATTGACGTGCACTAACAGAAGATCAATGTTGTGTTAACTTCGTTGTAACTCTTACCCGTGTCCTTGTTGTTGCTATTTGCAGTAAACAATCTCATAATTGTTCGTATTATTGGTGTAATTGGGTGGTAGAACTTGTTCTCCTTGTTACTGAAATGACTTTTTCAAGTTAGAAAGCATGTAGCCCGATAGGATTTGATTTAAAAATATTTACTATCATATCTCACTTATAATCTAGTCAACAGCAATTGTCTAACTGTCGTCTTCTAAGCACGTAGTCTATAATTATCTGCCAATAACAAGTTTTCTTTCACACTTCATTTATCTCTGTTCGTGTAAAGTCCTTCGAATACTGAAGGGTTCATTTTAGTATATATCGTTTTACAAAATCCTTGTGTATGATATTTTACTAAAAAGTCTTAATGTATGCTTACTTAATTCGTGTAGAAAATGAGTTACAAATCAATATATTTTATATAACAGTATTTCTATGCTTTAGCAGCGTAACATATTGAAGAGTTTAATTGTTGTTATTGTTGTTGTGTAACTGTCGTTTGTGTAATCTGAATTTATCAGTTCTCATATCTAACTGTTTGGCAATTCATTTTATTTTGTTTACTGTTTTAGTTTGATTTTGGAGATATTATGGTTCATCAGAGCATTCATACGATTGAATATTGCTTGGGTTGCATTTCTAACACGGCATCCTATCTTCGTTTATGGGCGTTAAGCTTAGCACATGCACGTGAGTATAGAAGCCATTATTTATTCTTTGATGTTTGCTGTACCTTCCGCAGTTGCTGCTCAGTGTAGTTAAAAGGTGTTCTAAACCACCCTCCACATGTGTTTGCAATCTGGTGCTTTATAGTGTACATGGCGTTATTTATTTTACCTCTATCTCCGCGAATGTGTCTAACCTATAGTGTATAGACTCTTATTTAGAAAGATATGATCTGTCAATGACTTGAAATACTAATCATTTATTGCTCCAACTTGATGCATTGGCGCTGGTAGTATTTGACGTGAGAACATGCTAATTATCTACTACTGTTTAAGTCACATTTGTCAGAGTAGGTCTTCTGGTTTGATGAATATTACAGTGCAGCATATGATTTTTAGACCCTGAGTATTATGATTCAGTCTTAGTGTATTAAGATACATTTGTATCATTATGATATAGCTTAGGTTGTAGTGGTGCTGAAAGCAACTAATAACCTTAATTGAATGCTGAACATGATTCTTTTCCCGAAGTGCTATGTATCTTGATGGGCCTCGAAAACTAACATATAACTAAAAGAACCTCGGCAATAGACAAATATATGATAACTATATATATATATATATATATATATATAATTTTCGACATCCTAAATAGTTTTGAATAGTACACTAAAACAAACTTATTTTTTTCTTCAACAGAACTGTCGGAGGTACTTTGGAGCATGGTGATGAAGTTGGGATTAAGTATGCCCGGTCTGTATGGTGGAGTTGTATTAGCCTTCATTTTTGCTTTCTGGGCGTTGCTGACTGTTAGCATTCTGTTGTGTATGGAAGGACTATCTGCGTTTCTTCACACATTGCGTCTTCATTGGTGAGTTGTTAACTTCATGTAGTACTTTGTAAACTCATACTCCTTAAATGTTCATACTTGTAATAATTTCTGTATATCTATATGTATTGTGTAGCATTGAGTACTAGTCGCTTCAGTATTACGTTAAGTCCTCGTAAGTTTACATTAAATACGTTTATTATTTTTACCAGGAAAGATTGTAAGATATCCATCACTAACAAAGTATTTTATAACTGTATATATCACGCACAATTGTTTCTTTGTTCTTCAAAGGGTGGAGTTCCAAAATAAATTCTACAGTGGTGATGGTTACCCTTTCGTTCCCTTTTCCTTCGAAAATTCCATCACTTCAGCAGATAACTGATGTCATAACCGTATTTATCACTCATATCTTTTATTTGAATTCCGTCCTACGTGGACTTGACAGTCCTTCAAAATTGTGATATTTTATCTAAATGTCTCAACTGTTGTGATTATGATGCATAATATTTAATTGTTGTTAATGATTAGTGGTAATTCTCCGGCTATGGCGAAATTAATTGATAATTAACAATTTTACTTCACTTATCTCATTTGACTTTAATTCTAATGTGTCATTTCATTTGTTAAAAAATGACTTGGTTCTTCGTTATTTTTTCCTCCCTCTCTACCTTACGCTAACTAATAAACCATGATATACGCATCAGTGAACTTTTGTTTTACTAAACGACAGGATGTACTTGTTCTGCAAGGAATTATTTTCATGCCTGCGGAGCATGAGCTTGTAGTTGGTATTTCATTGAATTATTGAGTGACTGAGTTTTTAACAGTGAACTTTGGAAAATGATGTGCAGCACATAGAGCACACATAAATGTAGAGGGAAAAAGTGCGAGGGAGCTGTGATGAACGTAAATGTATGAAAAAACGAATCGGTATAAAATGAGAATTTAATGGATCTGGTAGTTCACAAAAGAGTGAATGCGTTCGCGCCATTCAGAAAGAATTTCGAGACATTTCACCATCAGTCAAAGATTTCATAGATCATTGCCACGTTTTTGTTTGACCGCTTCTAACTCTTTTACAACGTAATCCTATGTTGGCTAACACTTCCAAACATGATAGGCAGATATCTTGGCATACATAACGTGCCGTAGCCACCTAAATCAGTGGAATTTCATCACCTCGTTGATTGGCTGTGTCTTACATCTTCCTTGACCGCCAGATATTGCCATAGTCCCTGTCGGTCGAAATAGTTTGTCACCACCTTCAGGTAAAGAATTATGGCAAGCATTAGATGCCGATAAGTATCTCTGTGTTTCAGGATGTGTCTAAGTTTAAAGGTATGATGAGCCTGCCCGCTTTCCCCTGAGCACCGCCTAGTCTACGCATCATCATTAAACATTAAACTTTCGATACTATAATAACCAGGGTAATTTCTCCTTTTTATAAACTGGGACTATGTCATATTCTCACTTACTACATAATATCTTAGTTAACCTAGTCAGTAGCTCATTAGCAGCATCGTTTATTACTTCTGGAATTATAAAGTCGCATCCTGTTGCTTCATCTTGTTCTGGATTGGGGACAGTTGTTGCAACCTAGGCTGTATTTAGATGGTGTCATTCAGGTAGGTGTTGGACAAGTAGGGTTTTAGGTCAGCTCCCCAGAGTGTCCCTCCCATCTTATGTCGTATTGAAAGTATCACTTCTTCAAGATCGCTTCACTTCATGTTGGCTTTTTACAGACTGTTTCCCTTATGATTCTAAATAATTGTTTAGTGCTACTATCTTCTTCCTCCCCCCTTACTTTTGTCCCTCACCAACTTGCATGGTCTCTGCAAAGATTTGGAAATCTTGAGATGCATAAGGTGAAGAAACATATGAAATGCTAAATTAAAGAGAGGATTTGCATCGTGTTCCCAAATTGTGTTAGTATGCATGGAGACCACCATGTCGTTTTACACCTTCCAGATATCTTACGAAGCTTTCGGTTAAGGTGCTGTGGTATTCTGAAAGACTGAGTCTCATTTAAACTGTCATGTAGGAGGGTTTGTGTGTGCGTCAGTGGCACAGCGGTTAGGGCTCTCGCCGACACACACCTGTGATATCAATGGTCGGCCTGCAAATTTGGGCTACCGATATCACATGCTGAAAACTCCATACCTGTACCAAAAAATACCGTGTGGAATCGAGCTGTAACCAAAACAAATAATAAAAAGCGATGGTGTGATGAAATAAGTTTGAGAAACATCAAGAAATGAAGTTGCAATTTTTGTAATTTCATGTCTGGTCGTTACAACTGATTTCTTTACGAATAAAACTGCTTCCAATTAGAAATACGTGATTTTAATAGAAAAAACAAACGACAGTCCTAATAAGGTAATAGAATTCAGTGAAGTGTAAACGGTGAATGAACTTTTAGTTAAATGGTCAAATTTGAATAAATGCTACATACAAGCTATATGAAAATTATGATACTGGTTACCATTATCATTTAAATTACAAGTGAGTTTGGTGCAATGTTATTAACCTTGACCTTTTTCGCTCACTACACACACATCATTTACCAAGCACATGCTACAAGTAATTTTGCATGAGTGTTCAATACCTTTTTCATTATTATAATTTGATGTAGATACTCAAGTTGCATTAGGCGAAGGACTGTTTGTTCAGTTCTAACTAAATTACGAAGCGCATTACCTATCATGAGCTTAACTCCCTTGATATACATGAATAACTCTATGGGAACAGCTTTTTCAGAATAAGACGGATTTATCTTATTTCGCAGGGCTTTTCTTAGCTGCTTGAATGATAAGAAGTAACTGATAGGATTTGTGATTCTAGGTAGATGATTTTGATTTAGTTATGCTCTTTGGGCTGATTAGTTTAATTCAGCAACTTTCGTCGTCCTAGACAGCATCTCCAGTGCACGTTTTATTATGAGGTGAACGTGAAATCTCCATGCATGATATGATTGTATCTCCTTTATTGTTACTTTTTTTTAACATAAGGCTTCAAGCTTGAGCTTTGAAGATTCAGCAGGAGTGGTGTTTATTTCTGCGAAGTATTGTTGTAAGTCGCACAGTGAACGTTCCCTGTTCACCGATCTAACTACTGGCTAAGCGATGTTTTTAGTAGTTAGTCGGCCAGGAATCGAACCTGGGACCCCCTGCGAGGTTGGCTAGTGTTCTGCCACTGAACCACCGACGCTCATACATATAATCACAGTGAATTAACTAATTTATTCGTATTATTATTATGCTATCGTTTCCTAGAGGATCATACGTCGTCAGCCTCACGTCTTCATTGCGTTCGGTTCTCTGCCAACATGTATTCTGGTTTCACTTGTGTCCAGATGCTTTCATCTTTTCGCATGACCTGCTCCATGTCGTACTGACGATCAACTCGCTGCTTCCCGTTTGGGTTCCACTCGAGAGTCTGGTGTGTGATGTCACTTGATGGTTTTCTCAGAGTATGGCCAGCCCACCTCCGTTTCTTCCTGCTTATTTGTTGCACAATCGACTCGGTTGGTTCGCTCCCAGAGATCCCTCTCTGTTGCTGATCTTTTCTGTCCATCTAATCTCGAGTATTGAGCGAAGACAGCTGTTGATGAAGGTCTGTAGTTTGTTTGAAGTGTCCTTTGTGACACCAAGTCTCTGATCCATATAGTAGCACTGACTTTACTTAGCGTTGAAAATCCGGATTATATTTTTCATGCTGGGTGCTGTTGATCTCCGCGCAGACTTGAGAGTAATGAAAGCTTGCCTTGCTTCTTCGACCCTCGCCTTGATATCCTCATCAGTCTCGTCCGCCTGTAGTTGAAACGATAGTACCCAGGCAGGTAAAAGAGATTGCTTCTTTCAGATTTCTCCCATTTATGATGATTGTTGCTGTTGATCAGGAATTTCCATCACCTCTGTTTTCTCTATGTTCACCTGAAGTATTGGCTTCTCTGAATGCTTCTTCTGCCAACTTGTTGCTTTTCACTTGAATATCTTCCAGTTTGTGGGAAATCAGATATACATCATCGCCGAAGTCCAGATCCTCCAACTTTTTGTGTAGGGCCATTTTATGCCTCACTGTCTGTCGCATTATACAGTCTACCGCAAACACGAAAATCACTAAAGATAGCAGGCAGCATTGTCTTACTCCCGTCTTCACTTCAAAGGATTCCGTGAGTTTCCCGTAGTATATTAATTGACACGCAGTATTTTCGTGCAACTGTTGGTGGTACCCCGTAATAGTGAAGTAGTTGCCAAATAACCTCTCGATTGACGCTGTAGAAGGCCTTTTCGAAGTCGATAACGTTGAAGTAAGGAGGTAACTGCCGTTCCAAGCTCTGTTCATTGACAATCCGTAGTATTGCAATCTGATCGATGCATGCCTTGATTCTCCTGATTCCAGCCTGTTCCTGTCGAAGTTTTCCATCCAGGGTGGCGTGTTTGATTCTCTCCAGGATGATGCGGCTTAGTATTTTGCTTGGGATGGATAGGAGCATAATTCCGCGCCAGTTCTTGCATTAAATTAAGTCTCCTTTCTTTTCCAATCCTTAGGTACCTTGCCCTCTCCACACCTTTTTCAGTAGTGTTGTCATCAAGTCCAATGATGTCTCTGTGTCCATTTCCAGTGCTTCTGTTGGGATTCTGTCTGGTCCTGCTGCTTACGCAGTTTTAAGTATTTTAGTGGCCTTCAGAATTTCTGCTCTCATCGGAGGGTTGATGTACACTGGTAGTTTTGCTGCCGCTGTTGGTATTATTGGGCGCGTTGTAGGTGGCGGTCGATTAAGTAGTCTTTTGAAGTGTTCAGCCCAATGTTTTCCTTGTTCCAGCTCTTTGGTGATTGACTTCCTATTGTCATCCTTTACTGGCTTAATTTGTGTTGATCTTTCCCCGATATGAACCTAGATGTTTGGTAGAGTGTTGTGAGGTCTCCTTTGCCTGCAGCTTGTTCTGCTTCACTTGTCATGGCTTCATTATATTTTCTTTTGTCTTCCCTTGCACTCTTCTTCACTGTTTTGTTCAGCGTATTGTAGCTTGCACTCAGGTCCTGTTTTTGTGCTCGTCAGTGCACTGGATAATCTTTTGTTTCACCTTCCTTCTCTCCTCTATTAGTTTCCAAGTGTTCGTAGTGAGCCACTGTTTGTCCTGTCTCTTCTTTCTGCCCACAACTTCCATGCAGGTTTGACTTCACACCTCTTTCAGGTTTTTCCAGTGCTTTTCGAATCTGGTCTCTTCGCTAGAGTTCATTTTTGTTTCCACCTCTTTCCTTATGATTGCAGTTAAGATGTAATTTGTGGCCTGAGCCTTCAGTTTTTGAGTAATGAACTTGGGTTATGGTTTATCTGCAGCTCCTGTTTCCTTGATTTGGAGTGTTCATTGTACGAGATACTGGTAGCATAGCATAGCATTGTATAACTGACACTTTCCCTCCTTTGGAGCTGAATCTGGCGGTCATTATCCTGGGCGAGATCGCCTCCCATTATATCAGAGTCTTCGCTGCCGTTGTTGACATCATGATAGCCACACTGATGGTTGCCTTCTAAGTGACCAGAGTAGACCACTCACTCTCCCATCGATAATTTGGTGAGTCCACTTCCATTCCATCTGCTTTCACATATTCCCACTACTTGAATGCCCATTATCTCTTCATCTCATTTGCAATTCGGCAGATTTGCCAGTCTCATACGTAGTGTGGACGTTCAGTATACCACATATAATTTTT